AGCTTGGTGCAGATGCCAGGCCTGAGTGGGCTGAGAAGTGAGGATGAGGAGATGGAGGCAGCCAGCACAGGCAGCTGGTGAAGGCACTCAGGCAGAGAGGACTGAAGAGGTTTGCTATTGTATTCACATGATTTTGGCTTCAAAAATAGAGATCTCTTATTCAGCTGGTTTAAATGGTAAAGAAAACTTACTTAAGAGTTCCAGAAGGTGGTTCTAGGGTTGTGTATTTAGTGATGACAACGTCATCAAAGATCTAGGTGGTGTTTTGTTTCCAGCCCCACCGTGTGACTTGGACCTCAGACTGCCCACCCCCTCAGGATCCCACACTGGACATGACAGCCTCCCGCAAAGGATGACTCTTGTACTCTTTAAAAGAAAAAATCTTTAACACACATATTGAGAAATGTACAGTTCGTACATTTGTACGTACATTTGTTCGTACAGTTCGTGCAAGTTGAATTTTCCAGACGCAAATAACCATACCCAGCATCCAGATCACAACCCCAGTACCCTGGAAGTCACCCTTGTTTCCCCCCTCAGTCACTGACCACTTCCTCCCCCAGGATAACTCCTGTCCTGACTTCTGACACTGTAGGTTAGTTTTGCCTGCTTTGTGCAATATAAACAGAATCATGTGATACGTGCTCTTTATGTCTGGTTTTCAGCATTGTTTGAGATCCATGTTGCATGTAGTTGTAAAATGTTCATCTATTGCATGAATATACCACATTTTATCCATTCTATTGTTGATGGGCATTTGGGGATTTTTAGTACTTTTACAGGTAGTGTCATTGTGAACATGTCTTCATTTCTGTTAAGTATGTAATAAAAGGAGTGGCATTGCTGGGACAGGAGGGTGTGCTTATGCTCAGCTATGCACATAATTTGCACCGTGGTTGCATCATTTTACACTCCTGCCAGCAGCACATGAGAGTTTCAGTTCCACGTCCTCACTAACACTTATTATTTTGTGTCATTTCATTTAGACATTTTGCTGAGTGTGTAGTGATACGATGCTGTGATTTTAATTTGCATTTTCTTAAGTTAATTTAGGAGGTTTAAGTTGAATATTTTTTTTTCGTACGCTTATTGACCATCCAGATATCCTCTTTTGTGAAGTGCCTGTTTGAGTCTTTTTTTTTTCTTCTTTTGAGTTGGTTTTTAAAAAATATTCTGGATAGGAGTCATTGGTCAAAATATGCATATTACAAATGCCTTCTCACGCTCTGTGGCTTGCCTTTTTTGCTTTCTTTCCATGAATGCAAGTAGTAATTTTAACATACTGCAATTTATCAAATTTTTTCCTTTATGGTAAGCACTTTTTGTGTTCTGATTATAATCTTTGCCTACTCTGCAAAATATTCTTTTGTTTTCTAAAAGCTTGACTGGTTATTGGTAATTAAATCTATCTATCTGGTGAGCCCCAGGTGGCGCTAGTGGTACAGAACCCGCCTGCCAATGCAGGAGACTTAAGAGACATGGGTTTGATCCCTTGGTTGGAAAGATCCCCTGGAGAAGGGCATGGCAACGCACTACAGTATTCTTGCCTGGAGAATCCATGGACAGAGGAGCCTGGTGGGCTACAGTCCATGGGGTGGCTGAGCACACATGCATGAGATATGCCATGATCCATCTGGAGGTGGTTTTTTGTATGAGGTAGGGGTCAGGGTTCATGTGAATGTCCAGTTGACCCAGCCCTATTAGTTTTTTTTCTAGCCTTTGTTTTTGGGCCCAGGATCATCCCCCTCCCCAACTCTAGGGCCAGCCTTGGTGGGGCTGCTATTCCCGGGGCAAGAGAGAGGGGCTCCCCCTGCCTCTGAGGGACATGGCCAGAGGAGGGCGCCTCGCTGCACCCACCCTTGGCTGCTTGAGGAGCCTCTGAGCGGGGCTCAGTCAGCTTCTCGCTGCTCCCTAGTCCTGCTCCTCTTGAGGGCACCCAGAGCCTGGCTTTCCCTGCAGCTCAGGCTGCCTCCCGGCACAGCTAACCCCGCCTTAGCCCTGCCCCTCCATGCTTCCTGGCTCCTGTTTTGGAGCCCTCCAGGTCTGGTCCTCTCCCCCAGCTTCACCTCTGCCCTGAGGCTTCCAGAGTGGCTCTGCTGAGACAGCCCCTTGGTTTCTCTTTCCTGCACTGGAGACCGCCTCTGCCCTCTCCTCCAACCCTCACGGGCCCTCAGGCCTCCAACTCAGGAACCTTGCTGTCGCTGCCCCCTCCTCTCTCTACCTCCAGGATGTCCGCTCTCATCCCCACTGCTCTGCCCCCCAGACCCTGTGCATTCTCTGTCCTCTCTACCTGGGACGCTCTTTCCTGGCATCACAGGGCTCCCTCCTTCCCTTTTTTAGAGTTTCAGCACAAATATCACCTCCTCCTTGAAGCCTGCCCTGATCCTTTTCCCTGATAATTCACTCTCTTCATCTCAGTAGCTTTCACATGGCTTGGAAATCACTTGTTTTTTATTTCCTTATTATCTGTCTCCCACTGGAATATTAGCCCCAAGAGGGCAGAGCTGTGTCCAGCTTGTCTACACTGCGTCCATAACACAGCGCCCATATGCCCATATGTAGCAGGTGCTCGAGAAGTGAGTGGGTGGGTGGATGATAGAGGAGGAGGAGGACTTTCTGGCTTCTCCATTTGCTTGCAGGCCTCCCCCAGCGCCCCCCCAACCCCGCATCTTCTTTGTGCCGCTGCCTCAGCTCTGCCTCCGACGTGTATATGGAAGACACAGTTACTCACTCATCCATCCACTCAGTGTTTGAATGTATAAAGACTGGGTAAGCATCTCTGCGTAGCAGGCTCTGCACTACCTGCAGGGATATGGAAGAGACCCCCTCAGCCGACCCAGCCCCGTCTTTTAAGAGTATGTTTTCTCCATGCACTGCAGTGTTAGCTTTGTCATACAGATGGGGTGACTATATCAGGATATGTTTCTGATTTCTGTATCCTCTTCTGTTTGCCAGGCTGTCTATCTTTAGATAGCTTTTGAATTTTGTCTTAAAAAAAATGTATATATGGTCTTTTAGTAGGTATTGCTGTTTGGTAGAATAAGTTACCTAGTTTTGTTCTTTGTAATCTTTTTGTTTTTTGGTTGTTTTTGTAATCTGTTTTTAAGAGTCAGTGGTCCCCTCAGTTGTGGGTCACACCTAAACTGTGTACCCTTAAACCACTCAGTGGAGAGTGGGTTTGCGATGATTGGCTTAAACTTACTAGGAATTATCTCTTAAGTCTTAGAGGTGGACCCTCACAACAAGCGTCTAGCAGTCAGAGGAGGAGGTTAGCTGCTGGGTAGATTACCAACAGTGTTTGCTTAGGGTTTAAGCCATTTATTTATTTTTTACTTGCTTTTTAAAAGATGAGAGGTCTGAGCAGATTAAAAGTCAGTAGGAAGTTGTATGACAATGTGAATGTGCTTCATACCACTGAATTTTATATTTGAAATGATTCATGGGATAAATTATGATGTGTATTTTACCACAATAAAACATACTGATGGGGTAGATTCCCGAAATGGAATGTGTGATTTTACAGGAGAGAGAAGGGATGATTGATACTGTAAGGATGGGTAGTTACATGGCGCAAGAGGAAGAATCAGCCACAGAAGGAGGAAGACACTTTTATTGTAAAGGAGAAAAGTTAGGGCTAGATTGAGAGAGTTTTCTTTGATATGTCCAGGTCCAGTTTAGTCATTGAAATAGGAGCAAAGCTCATCCGCTGAAAGGGGAGTTGGAAGGAAAGGACATGAGTTTTTTTTTTTTAACCACTCTGCGAGGCATTCAGGGTCTTAGATCTCTGACCAGGGATTACACCCATGCCCCCCTGCATTGGAAGCGCAGAGTTTTAACCAGTGGACCACCAGGGAAGCCCTGGAGAGGCATGAGATCTGAAATGGCCATCTAACGAAAGTAGAGGGCGGTTTGATCTAGAGGGCTGGTCGCCGGCGTTGAAGGCCCCTCTGGGCCGCTGGGGCCCTGGGCGAGGAGGACTCCTGCTGCGCTCTGCCCTGGCTCCCCTGGCGGCGCTTGGCCCCCTGCGCGGGGTCCTGCAGAAAGCGGGAGGCGGGGCCCATCCCGCACGGGCCCCCCACAGAGCAGGTGCGACACGGGCAGAGAAGAGGGAAGAGGTCGCATGCGTGGGAGCATGGAACGAGGAACCAGCAAATGCTAGGACAGATCGATAAGAAAGTTTAAAAAAAGATAAATGGGAAAGTCAGTGAGGTGAGCACCCTGAGAAGCTAGTAGGAACAGTTGAATAAGTAGGATGGAAGGAGCTATGCTATCAGGGGAAAGAGTGGGATGCCTGAATTAGTGATTTTGGGCTCTGAGCAGTTTTGAGCGGTGGTAAAGTTCTCTGGGAGGGGGTGGTGGGCGGCTGAGGTGGGCAGACGAGGCCGTAGACTGTAAGGAAGCTATGAGAGGCCTGGTGTTAGACCTTAGTGCTCGACAGTTTACAGCGCACTGTGCTTTAGCATAGTATCTGAAAACAGGAAAAGCCAAAATTGTTAGCCTCATCTTACAGAAGAGAAAGTGACCGTAAAGAGGTTAATTACGTCCTGTCTGCCCCAGTGAGAGTTAGTGATGGCGCTGGACTTAATCTCGTGTCCCAACTTATGCTCTGTCCATTATAGCTTAGTCAGTGTGTTGTGTGAAATATCTGGGACGTTTATTCTCCAAGATCAGAAGTCTTGCTGACAGTACCACATAGTACCAAAAAATCTTCATATGAGTAATAAGAAGTTAGGGATAAGTGAGATGTAGATAGTTGTGTGCAGGAAATACTCCAGAAATATTGAAAGTAGCTATTCTTGGGTAATTGTGATTGTGACTCTGGGTGACTTTTTTCCTTTGTTTTGCTTTTCTGTATTTTCCAAATTTCCTATAATGGACATATATTACATAGATTAAAAAAATTAAAAACTAGATTGTATATGGAAATCTGAAATACAAATAGATATGCACTATATAATACCCTTTGAAAAATTTGAGTATTTTATTTCCTTTTCCTTTAGAAATGCACTTGGTGATGGAAAGAGAGCTACCATTCTGAAGAACAATTGGACAAAGGTAGGTTTCTTTCATGCTTTACTTGGATAAACAGCGCTGTACAACTTAGTGAAAAGTCTGTTTACAGGATATAAATCCCTCTGTAAAAAGTGTTGGATGAAATTATATGGAACTCAGGAGATAGCAGGGGAACCTTCAGTTCCATAATCAGAGAGGACCTGCTGCCCAGCGGTAAGGGCCAAGTGTGTCTGTCGGGGACAGGCCACCCCTAGGGGTTGTGAACACACCTGAGTGGGGTCATGAGCATACCTGAGTGGCTGAGGTGTCAGCATCTGCACATTGTGGAAGGATTAAGAACCTGACTGTGGAAAATGAGGCTTAAGACTCAGGAGTGCTGGAGACTAGCTTTATAATCTTGAGGTGGGAAAGGGTTTCTTAACATACATGCACAGGTCAGAGAAGGAAAAAACTCTGATGATTATCTCAAGCTTAAAATTTTCTGTATGTTGGGACGCCATAAATGAAATTATAGTCTGGGAGGAGATAGTCTCTCATATATAGAACAGAAATAACTTGATAGGAATTACATTCAGAGTATGCAAAGAACAAAAATAAAGAAACTCAGTAGAAAATGGGCCCATTAAATAAGCATTTCAGAGGTGAGGAAACCTGAATGGGTGATAGGAAAAAAACTATTCCGTTTCCTGGTAATTAAAATTGTAAAGAAATAGAAACCAAGAAAGCCTAATAAAGAACCTCCAAACAGACCCACATGTACACCCACAAGTGGAAAAAATAATGATATTGTTTGGGTTCTTCAAATTGGTGAAAGTTCGAGAACGATAGTCCTGAATATTGGTAGCATGTTTGCTAATAGGAGCTCTCAGTAAGCCTGTTTGGTGTGAATTGGTCACAGCCAACTTGGAGAGCTCTATGATGTGCCTGTGTTGTGATTGATTCCAAGGGCGTATACTCCACAGACATTCTTGCCTATGTGTATATGGTGAGATGTGCAAGCTTGGTCACTGCAGTGTGGTTTTTATGACACAGAACTGCAAATACCTGAGTATACATTAATAAAGTAGTGGATGAGTGTGGAATTTTCATTTGATCAAACTTATTACTACGATCCATCTGATCAGCCCCCGTCTGCCTTTAACCACCCATCGTCTCTCCAACCTCACTCCTGCTTGCGTCTCCCTTGTCCACCGTGTCGGCCCCTGGGCTTCCTCACTGTCCTCACACGTACCAGGTCCACTCCCAGTGCACTTGCTCTTCCCTCTGCCTCGAGTCAGAATGCCTTTCCCAGCACCTGAGCAGTCACCCTTACTTCCCTTCCTCCTTCACTGAACGTTCTCTCCTCAGTGACCTTCCCGGAGCACCTCGCTAAAATGCCAAACCTGCTCCTTCCTAGACATTTGCTTATTTTTCTCTGCTTTATCTTTTTACCTCTTAGCGTTTAACATGATTGCACGTATGTATGTTGTATAAGTTGTGTTCTTATTTGTGTGTGCTTTAGTATAATGTGAGCTCCCTAAGGACGGGTTTTTTTGTTTGGTTCATTTCTGAATCACCTGCCTGATAAGCTTCCCAGCACATGGCAGGCACTCAGTAAATATTTAATGAATGAATGAGTTAAAATGAGTTACTGGCTACCAATAATTATAGATTTAAAAAACAGTGTTTACATATTTGTTTTTAAACCAGAATGAATAGAATCATAGAATTTTAGAGCCTCCAAATTGTGATTCAGATGGCTTAGGAGTGTATCCAAGTCTGGGGATTATAAAATTCTCCAGGTGAACTTCTGCATCCAGATATTGGAGTCACTTCTTAAATGCCTTATTTTCTCGATGAAGAAATTAAGTCCCAGAAGGGTAAAGTGACTTTCTGTGAGGTATCATTGCAAGTAAGAGACAAAAATGAACTGAGAATCTAGCATTGGATAGGCTTCTGTTTGAAGGTGATCTGTTTGTTGCCATTTTCGTTATGAGTTACTGTTGTAGTTGAAGCATAATCTTTGCTGATCACTGAACTTGGCATTTGGCAGGTGCTGTGTAAATATACTCACAGAATGAATGGGTGCTAGTGTTCATAATACTGAAACCTAGACCATGATACTGATTTTCCAGAGGTAACTTGCTAGTTCAGTCTATTATCAACTTAGAAAAAGTGTACCAAAACTTTCTTAAAAAAAAAAAAATAACAATGCAGATGTTTAAGTCTGTTCTTTTGACTTTTTTTTTTTTGCCTCTGTTGACAAGTCTACTATATTTCTTTGTAAGTAAGCTTTGCTTTTCCTAGGCATTTGAAGATCTTCTCACTGTCTTTAATGTTTGACAGTTTTATTGCAATGTGTCTGGGAGGGATTTTCTTTAAATTTATCATACTTGGGATAGCTTGGTTTCTAAAATCTGAGGATTCATGTCTTTCAGCATTTCTGGAATATTTTTACCCTTAACCATTTGAATGTTGCCTCCTCTCCAGTTTATTCTTGCAAAACTTCCATTAGATACATGCTGTATATGTATGCTATCTTTCATATGTCTTAAATTCAAAACTTTCTTAATTACACGGAAGACTTTATGTAGAATGTTTATTCCTGGTTTAACTTATCAAACAAAACATTCATTCTTTTTTTTTTAAGACTATTTTTTAGAGCAGTTTTAGGTTCACAGCAAAATTAAGAAGACGGTACAGAGATTTCTTGTAGATTCCCTGTGCCACACTTGCATAGTCTCCCCCATTATCGGCATCCCACAGCAGAGATACACATCTGTGAAAACTGATGAACCTACATGGACATGTCATAATCAACAAAAGTCCATAGTTGGTCTTAGGGTTCACTCCCTAAGTGGACTTCCTGTGGGTTTGAAGAAATGCATAGTGACCTGTGTTTCACCATTGTCGTTCATAGAGTATTTTCACTGCCCTGAAATCCTCTGATCTGCCTATCCATCCTTCCTCCCAAATTCCTAGCAACCATTGATCTTCTTACTGTTCCCATAGGTTTACTTTTTCCAGAATGTCATATAGTTGGAATCATACAATGTATAGGCTTCTCAGACTGGCTTCTTTCACTTAGTGATATGTATTTAAGTTTCCTCTATGTCTTTTCATGACTTGATACATACTTCTTTTTAGCACTGAAAATACTACATTGTCGGGATATCTTACAGTTTATTCACCTACTGAAGAACATCTTGATTGTTTCCAAGGTTTGACGGTTATGAATAAAGCTGCTATAAACATATATGTAGGTTTTTGTGCGGACATACATTTTCAGCTCCTTTGGGTAAATACCAAGGAATGCAATTGCTGGATCATATGATAAGAATATGTTTTGTTTCATTTTTTAAACTAAAAAACTTAACAGTTGCCAAACCTTCTTCAAATGTAGCTGTGTTGCACATTCAACCATTTTGCACTTCCACCATCAGTGAATGAGAGTTCTCGTTGCTCCATGTCCTCCCAGCATTTAGTATTGTCAGTGTCCTGAATTTTGGCTTTTCTGATAGATTCATGTGGTGGTGGATGGTTTAGTCACTAAGTCGTGTCTGACCCTTGTGACCCCATGGACTGTAGCCTGCCAGGCTCCTCTGTCAATGGGATTTGTGAGGCAAGAATACTGGAATGGGTTGCCATTTCTTTCTCCAGGGTATCTTCCTGACCCAGGAATCGAACCCGGGTCTCCTGCATTGCAGGCAAATTCTCTAGCAACTGAGCTACAAGGGAAGATAGATTCATAGTGGTATCTTATTATTTTAATTTGCATTTCCTTGATGACATGAGAAGCATCTTTTCATATGCTTATTTGCCACTGTATATCTTCCTGATGAAGTGTCTGTTAAGGTCTTTGGCTTATTTTTTAATTGGTTGTTTTCTTATTGTTGAGTTAAGAGTTCTCTGTATATTTTGGATAACATCCTTTATCAGGTGTATTTTTTGCAAATATTTTCTCCTAGACCAGGGCTTGTCCTCATGTTCTTGATGTTTCTTTCACAGAGTGTAAGTTTTAATCAAGTCCAGCTTATCAGTTATTTCTTTTCATGAATCATTCCTTTGGTGTATCTAAAAAGTCATCACCATACCCAGTGTCATCTAGTTTTCCCCCTATGCTCTTCTCTAGGAGTTTTAGGTCTGTGATCTATTCTGAGTTAATTTCTGTCTGGATTCAGTTTTTTGCATGTAGATGTGCAGTTCCACTATCATTTGTTGAAAAGACTGTCTTTGTTCCATTGTATTGTCTTTTGTTTCTTTGTCAAAGATCAGTTGACTGTTTATGTGGGCTCACTCTTTTTTTTTTTAATTAGGAATTTTTTGATAGTTGCAAAAGTTACTTGTGTGGGCAGAAAAACACAACTCCCAAATAAGTATTCAAAAAAATTTGTTAACTATATATTGAGGTCATTTGTCTTTTGTTTTACCAAAAAGGAGTGCTCATTGAAGGATATTTTAAACTTAAGAAACCAAAGTAGACTGCAAGGTGCATTCTTGTTATCAAGAGTCCATTTATGAACCTGAGTCTATTAAGTTGTGCCTCTAGGATACAATCCTGTATAGGTGGGTAGTCTGTAGATTTCTGTGTGAGGGTAGACCAATTTTTCTGGTCTACCAGAAAACTGGTCCAATGTCAGTTGTCCTGAACATACTTTAATTTTTAAATGATTTTTTAAAAATTATTTTTCATTGAGGTATAGTTGATTTATGAGTCCTGTACATACTTTTAGGCTTAAGAAACTAATCATTCTTAAGAATCAATGATTCTTAAAGAGACTGAATCATTGTATCCTGAAGAGTGAGAAGTTTTACAGTATAGTCACCAAATATTTGTTGGTATTTCTATGTGCATTGTCTTTTGATATATTTATGCAGGATACAAACCAACAGCCCCACAAATGTCCTCAAGAACTTATTTTAATATTGAGGAGTATGTTAGGACTCTTTTCATTTGGGAGTGATAAAACCTAACTCAGATTTGACAAAAGTAGAACAGGGAAGTTCTTGGCTCATGTAATTGAAAAGTTATGGTTGGATGGTAGTTCAGGCATGGTTGGATCCAGATCTGTACACACTTTATTTATGTTTCTCAGAGGTGCTTCCCTGTTTGTATCATTTTCAGTCTTTTCTCTCTTTGTACTACTTTACCTATATTTTTACTGCTGTGTCCTCATGTCTACTAATTCTTCTGTTAGGTCTAATCTGCCTTTATTTCCATCTAATTTATTTTTCATCTGAATGCTATAGCAGTCATCTCTAGAATTTCAGTTTGAATATTTCTTATATATTTTATGTCTTTACTTAATATATTCTGTTTTCTGCTTACCTTCTTGAATGTATGAAATATATTATCTATAGCTATTTTAATGTCCTTGTCTGCTAATCCTGTGATCTGTGTCATTTCTGGATTGTTTTAAATTGTTTCCTCCACAACTGAGGCCAAACCCTGTTAAGTACTCTACTTAATACTCCCATGAATTAATTATGTTTTCCGCTCTGGTTGGTGGGAACAGGAATTACTCCTGGCCTGTGCAAGTGCTGACTGTTACTCCCTTTTAGTCTTTTCAAGTGGTTCTTTCCCTGGCTTGGGTAGTTGCCGCACGTGCATGTACTGATTGATGCTCAGCTGAAGACTCAAGGGGACCCTCTGAAAACTCTGGAGTCCTCTCTCCAGCTCTGTCCCCTGCGGCCCTCTGCCCTGTGAGCTTGGGCTGCCTTGGCTTTCCTGTCCTCGGTGAGGCTGTGGTCTCTCCCTGGTTCCTTCCGCCGGTGCTGTGGCTTAGAAACTCTCCCTCAGTAAGTGGCAACAACCAGGAAGCTTTCTGTTTCTCATCTCTCAGGAATCACTTTCTTTGTTGCCTGATATCCAGTGTCTAGCAAACCTTTGTTTCATGGACTTTGTCTTACTTTTAAGCAAGAGGGTATATCCAATCCTTGTTAATCTATCTTGATCACAAGTGGTAATTAGAGAATAGGCTCTCTTGGCTTCATTTTGAAACAGTGGGAGCCCCAACCTGGTATCCTAGTAACTGTTCTGCTAACGTTTCTAGTGGAAAGTTTGTAGTAACTTTTCTAGTGGAAAGAGAGCCTCTGTTAGTATTTATATAGTATAACTGTGGGGTGCCTCAGACTGATCCTGGTTGAGCCTAGGTCACAGCTATGCTTTGTCCCTGCCGGCCCTGTTGAGATGCGGGCATTACTGTATAAAGTAGTGATGTGATGGCACACAAGAAGGAAGAGATGCTAGGTAGAGGAACAGTGTCTGTGATAGAGAATGAGACAGTGTCACAGAAGAGCAAAACTATCATAGTTGGGTTCAAGAAGCTTTCTGAGATGCCTTTCGTTGAAGCTTCATTCAAACAACTTCAGCACAGAGATCTGAATAAACTCCCTTCTCATCTGATAGAAGGTACACTGGGTTTTACAGAGCTTAGGGAAAAGAACCCAGTAAAAGATGGGTGGAAAAGAGAAAGAAATGAAGTGTTTTCTACAAATTTAGTAGGTGAGGTTTATAATCTCCCATAATTTCCTATGCTGTGATTTTTTTTTTTAATGCAGCTATTTAAAGTTTGAGGTTGGTTTATGCTTAGTGGATAGAATTTTGGTCTTGTAGTATAACTGTGAGGTCTTATCTTCCTGCCTTTGGAGGAAAAGCAGAGTGTAACCAAATGCAGTATGCATTGGGGGTCGCTGAGCTGAGCCTGAAGAGCCTGCTCAGGAAATGCTCTGACCTCTCCGGTTGGGTTGGTACACCAAAGTGGGATTGTACATGCACCAAACCTATGTAAACATAGGTCCTCTGGTTGTTTCTTGCTGCTTTTAGTGAAAAGCTCATCTTTCTTAAAAGGATCATTTATTTCTGATTCCATATTTTCTAATAGAATCAGAATTTTCTTTGTAAAATGTGTAGTAAAGAAGAAGAGCTCTGGACCTGGAGTCCTAAGATCCAAGTTCTTTGGCTTGTCTCTAAATAAATGTGGCATTAGGCCAGTTCTAGCCTCTCACACTTGTAAATCACTTCTTAAATGGAGATATCAAGCCTAAAACAGGGATTTGGTTTGGGGGTAGCTAAAAGAGGGGTTGTCTGAGTTAGCCCTAGTTTTGGTAATATTAACTTTCTGAATTAAAATGTTCAAGCTTGATATAGATTTCCCAAAACACATAAAGTAAGGGACAGTTAGAACTATGATTCTGTAGCAAAAAAAAAGAAACAACCTCATCATTGGAATTAAGAGTAAATCAGTGGTTTATGGATCTTTTCTTAAAGCTGAGAACTATACTTAGAGATAAAATAATTAAAAGCTGATTAAGAAAGATGGGAGTAATATATCCACCCCTTATCTGTGCCCATGCTCTTCAGAGGGGTTGGAAGACTACTGCACAAGCTGATTATTCATTCCAGCTCTAAAACTGTTGATTTCAAAAGTGTAGAGAATGTGGGTGCATGTATATGTATGGCTGAGTCCTTTTGCTGTTCACGTGAAACTACCACAGCATTGTTAATTGGCTAGACCCCAGTACCAAATAAAAAGTTTAAAGTTAAAAAAAAATTATAGGGAGTGTAATGACTTAGAGACTATTATTGCCTAAAAATACTTTGAAAAAAATTAAGTTACTCATTTATAATGAATTACTCTTATACTTTATTTGGCACAAAATAATGTCTTTTACATAGAGTAAAGGTTGAATTGTTTTCTTTTGGGTGGATACAAAAATCTCTTAAGCAAAAACACTGATCTCTATAGTCAGTTGTTAAAAATTGTTGTTCATAGCTTTTCATTTAACTCTTTTAGGTAATTTTACTTCCTGAGAGGTATTAACATTTTCATTTATTTTTTATTGAGAGGATCCTAGTGTAACATTTCAAGTAACTAACCAGTTTTCAAGCAAAATATTTTTTCATTACATTTTAAGTATATTTTTGAGAAAAAATTGAATTTATCTTTTTGGAACAGGGTCATTATCGTTATTGTGCTGCTCTTTCTATGCTGGGGGAATATGACTGGGCCCTGCAAGCAAACATAAAAGCTCAAAAACTCTGTAAAAATGACCCTGAGGGAATCAAGGATCTAATTCAGCAGCATGTAAAGTTACAAAAACAAATAGAAGACCTGCAAGGTATTTCACCTAAGATTCTTTTGGTTACAGTCGAATTCCCTTAAAAACTTTTCAAAGGTGGGTTTCTTGGATTAATGGAGGACCAAAAATCAGTTCTCAGAAGATTTGTACTTTTATTTTATTTTATCTTGGTCAGCTCACTTAAATTTCTCATTTGTATTCATGTGAATTCTGTTAGTATTATATTCCAGTTGGTAATAATAAATGATTTGTACTTTTTATTTGAAATAGCAACAAATTATTTATTCTTCTGTAGAAAAATATGCGTTCTTGAAATTTTGAATGAAAGAAAACCTTTTGAAACAGTTTTAAATTTCTTCTTCCATTATTATAGTTATTTCCTAAAAAAAAAAAAGGCCCTTCAGTAGAGTTGTTTGTTTTTGCACCAAGTTTGTGGCTAATTCTGTAGCATGCTGAGTGTGTGTGTATACATAGGTACATCAGAAGTTAGTGTGCAGGCTGGGAGCTCCAGGTTCTCATTCCACCCTTGTTTTCTCTCCTGAGTTATTTTGCTCCCTCCATTGCCTGAAATTACCTTACTCAGCATAGAGTCCTTTCCTGTTCTTTCTTCTGTGAGTAGCTAGTGTCTCACGAAGCGAGCCCAGCAGTCCTATTTCACTGTCAGATGTTGTCACCCAACAGGACACGTTTATCAGATTGTGAGCTCCTCGAAGACAGGTACCATCTCTGATTGAGATTTATACATTGCTGCACCTAGTCAATGATCACATGTAATGGGATGTCAAATAAGGTTTGTCTAGCATCTTGTTGACATCATTCTAAAACTAAAAACATCTGGAAGTGTAAAATTGCTTAAGTTTACTTTTCAATTCCCTAAATTTGATAGCCTTATTGTCAGCCTAAAAGAAATGTGAAAATCTTTTGAAGTATGTGTTTCCAATCCACTGATTATTGTGTGTGTGTGTGTGGTTCGTTTTTATAGGTCGAATACCAGCTAGTAATCCAGTCAAAGCTTTCTGTGAAAGCAGGTGAGTTAATATCAGATCAGTGGCTGTTACTTGGAGTGGTTTTGCTCTGTGAGTTTGAGTTGCTGTCTGATGCTTTAGTATTTAATAGCAACCACAATAAAGTTGGGAGTGGAAGGACAAGAGGACGTTTTATTTTACTGATTTTAATATTTTTTTATTTGGCTGCCCCAGATCTTAGTTGCGGCATGCAGAATTTTTAGTTACATCATGTGGGATCTAGTTTGCCGACCAGGAATCGAACCCAGGACTCCTGCAATTGAAAGTGCAGAGTCTTGGTCACTGGACCACCAGGAAAATCCCAAGAAGAGATTTTAAAGTGTGTTTGTAAGATTAGGTGATGACCCGTGATTTGTTTCGCTGAGCTATTTGCATATATATGCCTGAGCCCGTGGGGAGAGGACCTAACTGTGCCTCAGTGGCACCGGTTTCGGCCATGAGGGTCCTGGTAGCAGAGACCAGGGGCACAGTCTGTGCCTTTCACCCCTCACCTTCATCCTGGAGGCCTCTGCCTCCAGCCTCCTGATAACTCTTCAAAAAAGGCTGAGACACTCCTGTTAGAAGTAGGCAGCAGATAGACTTAAGCTCATTTTCTTCTGCTCGTAAGAAAACAGACAGCAGTCAGGATTCTATGTTTTTTTTATTTGGCAGTTAAAATAGAGTAAACTTTAGCCACATGCTTTACCCACATGCCTGGGATGATGAAGCTGTTAAATTTATAACAGAGAGACTTACTTATTTTAATATTAGAAACCAGTATACATTTCTTGGGTTGTTCTTTATCTATTTTGAACTTTTAATTCCAAATTTAAAGCAGTATTTATGTAAAAACCCAATCTCAGAGATAGAGATTCTTTTTGAAGCTATTACTTTGCTTTCGAGGAAAAAAGGCTATAATTGCTAAAACGTCCTTGTTTGAAGGATAACTTTTTAAAAATACTAATCAATAGAAATATTATTTCTTTTATTATTGCTCAGGGCCTACCTACCTAGTTTATCAGCACCTACATTTAGTACTTCACTTAACTTTGTGGAAACTGAAAAAAAATTCAGAAAAACTAACCACGAAATGGCAAACGGTGGTAATCAGAATCCAAAGGTAAGCTCAGTTAAAAACCAAGATTAAAATTATTTTGAGTATAGATAGTCTCGTATTTTATTATCATGTTTTTGTGATAATGGAAACTAATAGGCATCTCTAAGCCTATAGCCCGGCTCTATGCTCAGTGTCCCAGATGACCTGTGTCTGAGTTTTCCTCTGACCTGTAATGTACTCAAAGGTCAAGTTCCCATTTATATTTCTTTCCAGGGCTTGAGAGGGAAAAAGGGGAATTGGTATTTTGGACTTAGGTGGGCATTGAAGGGAACTTTGCCAATTCACCATATAATTCTTTTGTTGTTAATAATGAAAGTCTCAGACTATATTCAGTTTGGGAGAGGAGCATAAGGAAAGATGTGATAGGATTAATTCAGCATTTATTGTGCAGTACTTATCATTTTGTTGGTTTATTCACTTGGTAAAGCTGAATGTTTTAGATGCTTAGATAAATTCTGTTTACCTATTTAGCTGTTGTTGATGGCTGTATTTTTTTTTTAATCTCAGTAATTTTATTTTCATGGTAGGTGGTAGATGAAGCTCTGAAAGTAGATGATTGTGACTGTCATCCTGAATTTGTACCACCATCAAGTGAGTTTTTTCCCTTTCTGTAAATTTTTGCTGAATTGGTGAAGTGTTGCCTAAGCTTCTACATGCTAAAATTCGCAAAAGCCTCACTTGTATTTGCTGTTGTTCTCCTTTTACTTTGCAGTGCTTCTGAGTCTAGAAAAAATTGGAATATTTATTTGAAATAAATGCTCAGTCTTTTCATAGTACTTAATAAATTTAATTTTTGAAATCCAGGTAAAGATATGGGAAGGAAAAATGCTCTCTTGGTCTGCTACCTAATTTCCACTAGGCCAGTGTTTCATTTATTTCATTATCTACCCCCTGCTCTCAGAGCTGTTTCTCCTTTCATGAAACTTTGATACTTCAGATACCATTTATGTTTTATGTTCTGTATGTACATGTGTGCTTTTAAATATAAAAACAGATTTTTTTCATCTTCCAGTAACCAATTCCAACTTTCTTGGGGGTGATGTCACCCCTGTTGAGAATGCATATACTTTAATACTAGTTTATTTAAATTATATGTGTTTAGTGCATGCATTTATTTATGTATCCAGAAAACACGGAGACACACAGCAGACCTCATCTACTTGGTGTCTTAAGGAAATGAAAGATTTCAGAGAAGCAAATACTCATGCCACATTTTTTCTCGGTGTCCCTTTATACTTCCCGCTTCTGAAGGAAGTCCTTCTGAAGTGGATTTCATTCTTCTCTGCCTTTTAAGACAAAGTTTGAGGGAATTCAGATTTTCTTGATGGTTCAAGGTTGTGGTTACACACACGTTACTTCCTCAAGCTTTCATGAGCTCCTTTCAGAGCTTGTGTGGTGAGATGGTTGACCTTCTAGTTAGTGATCCTATTGCCCTCTTTTCCTTTCACTAGTGTTTTGGTTCCTTTATTTTTTTTCAGTGTTTTTACTTCCAGCAGCCATTATGGTCTTTTACTTCCTGCAGCTCTATCTTCTCTTAGGCTCCAGTGCTGCATATCCAACCACCTAGTACTGGTTAGCACTGTGGCACAGATATAAAGGGGAGAAACACAGTTGTCTGCCTTACCTGATGTGACTTTATGGCATATGCAAAATATTTGAGAATAAAACTTTTTCTTTAAAACCAGCTTTTAATTTACTGTTATTTCTTAGGCCATTATTAGACAGAACATTTAAATCATTTAAATACTGTTCATAGTTCTGCATCTATGTTCAAAGAAATTGAGGTCCCAGAGTTAGATTAATTAAATTTTGCCCTAGGTCACCCAGTAGAAATCAAACTGGCGCTCTTCTTTCTAGAAGCCTCTGGTTTTCTGAGGCGCCCAGAGCTAAGGCTGTCAGCCCGTGCCTGGTACGTGGCTGACTTCCTCTCCCAGCGCTTCCTTCACACGCGCCTTGCCCGTGCCTGTGTTCTTGTCTGCGCAGCTGTGTGCAGTGGCACTCTGCTCCTCCTGAGGAGGTCGAGGCTGAGCTGCAGAGCTGGGGCTCAGAAGCAGGGGCATTCACACCGTCAGACCACCTGCCCCTTTCAGCCTGTCCTTACTTAGCCCTCTCAATCACACGGGTCTGCCGAGTGCTTCTTCAGATGAACTCCAGTTGGCCCATGCTGTGTAAATCTTGCTTGTTACCTTAAACACAGATGCTGCATCTCCCCGATGCCTTTCCCAGTCACTCCAATTTACGTGATTTTCCCTTCTAGGAATTACAGTAGCAGTTACTATGGAATTGATATTTCAATAACAACATAGAATCTTCTTTTTTACTTAGTGGGGATTGTTATTTAATTACTGAAGTGACTGTCTTTTCTTCCCATATGATTATAAACTCCCTGAAAATAGAAACTGTAGCCTGAAAAAAAAAAAAAAAACTGTAGCCTTCTATATCTCTTTTGTAAACTATCTCTCTTCTGTATCTACTATAGGGTTAAATGATAATCATCATTATAATTTATTCTTACAGTAATTTTATGGCATACATAGAGAAACATTATCAGTAGCTTTTTTTTTTGTAATAGCTTACCTGTTAGACTCACAATATTGCTCCCTTTGCTTTATTATTCCAATTTATATTTTTTAAAAAACTTTACTTTTAAGCTTGTAGATTTTTATGTACAGATTTCAGGAACAAATACTTTTGTATTCACAGGTCAGCCTCCAAAATATAAAGGGAAACAAAAATCTCGAAACAATGAATTGGAGAAGTTCAGGTATGTTTCTTATCTTTTTTTTTTTGCTTTTGCTTTATTTCGTTTCCATAATGTCCACCTCCCAAGAAGAAAGGAAAAATAAATCTCTTTCAAGTAGTAGCTACTTCTGCATATGTGTATTATGATAAGTACGTCTCTTTCAAATGTCTAGGCATGTCTTGGAAGAAGATCATTTTTGGCTAGAGGATTATTTAATCCTGGATGTTAATTAACTGAGAGTCATATAATAGGAGATATAGCAGCATTAATTTTCTAAAATTTCAAAATACATGCTCATAAGAGGAAGGGGAAGAAATATGCAGATAACTGTTAAGTAAATATTTGATCTCCTTCACTGTTCACTTGATTTCACCTGTCTCTCAGTTCCTTCTCTGGTGCCTTTCTTTAGAAATCGCTATTAATCATTTCTTGGCCATCTGGAAACTGATTCTACGTGCCCTGACAGGGCTGTGCGTGAATTCAGAGGCCTTTTTGAGTCATTATCCCATTAGAGGAAAGGATTTACTAATAGACCGACCACTTAACAAAGTTGGTTCTACCAAGCATTTCCCCCAATTAACAGTAGGAACGCTTGGCACCAATCTTTTTTTTTTTTTTAGTGAATTCCCCCCCTTTTTTTGAGGAGGTATTTTATTTGTTACATCAGATGTGTCTGTGTATCTCACAAATTAGTTAGATCCCATTTGAACAAATATTTTTCCTTGAATCAACTTGACACTAAAATTTATACGTTCAGTTCAGTTCAGTCTCTCAGCCGTGTCCGACCCTGCAACCCCGTGGACTGCAGCACGCCAGGCCTCCCTGTCCATCGTCAACTCCCGGAGTCTACCCAAACTCTCCTCTTTCACTTTCATCAAGAGGCTCTTTAGTTCTTCTTCACTTTCTGCCATAAGGGTGGTGTCATCTGCATATCTGAGGTTACTGATATAAATGGGGAAAAATCCAAGAGCAGGTACCTGTGAATAGCCAGCATATCACAGCATATCAGAGCTCTTCAAAATAAGTTCACATCAAAAAGTGTATTTAAAAATAATTAATGAATTATGGTCACTGTTTCTTGATGAGACAACTTTTTTTAACATTATGGTAGACACTTTGCTAGTAGCTCATTCGTCCTCCCCAAGAATATGTAAAAAGTGAATTATTAGCCTTGTTTTCAGAGACGTAGTCAGAGGGTTTACCCTTTACTAGAGTCGTATGGCCACAAACACAGACTGGCATCTGAATTCAGGTCTGTCTGAAGTTTAGATCATCTTGCATGTGCTTAGTGGTTTCTGAAATAACTATATCACTGACTAATTTACATAATCTCACCTCTGTAAACGCAGCCTAGTAACTTTCTGTAAAATCCCCTTCCTTATCCTGTCTACTTCAAACCTAGTCAGAAACTCTCTCCTCAGTAGCCCTCTTCAAGACAAATAAAGCCTTCTTCAGATAAGGGTATACCCTCCCCTTAATCATTTATGTTTTCTATTCTTAACATATGTATTTGCAATATATATGAGCTATGTGATAGTTACAAGCTATAATTGTAGAGAATTCACTCGTCATTTCAGAATAAAATCCCTATTCAAACACATTTCCCACTGTTCTCCATACATTAAAAAGCAAAATATTTTGGCTCTTTTCTCCAAGTTTAAATTTTTAGGATCCTCTTATATGCAGTTGTCATAATTTTGTTTTTGAGCAGCTTTCCTTCATCCTAGGGAATGAAATTGCATCCATCTGTCATGTGAACTTTTTCAAAGAAGCTTTCTCCAAAATCTGAGGACAGTCCTTGCCTTTGACCTCTAATGACTCATCTAGGCTTCACAACCGCAACCTCAGCAAACATCAGAACTCTTGACCAGAATGTTTCCAAATGTCAGTTTGTCCCCACCTTCTGCATGGCAGTGCTTCTGCTTCCAGGGGCCCATGGTTTTGTCGTAGTTATGAGGCTCATAGTAGCAGAGGCAGAGGGCTTTGGAGAGAGAGCCACCCTGACCTTCTAAAACAGCTTTCAAACTCATACCACAGAGCTAGACTGCCAGGTCTCCTGGCACCAATCTTTATAGTTAATCTCCCGTTACCTACAGTGGTGTAGATTGATAGCAAAGTGAAAGTGTAAATCTTACAGTAGATACAGAAATTCATGAAAACAATGAAAATGATGCTGGTAAAACTGCAAAGCCTTCCTTGCCACAGTTCCACTAGTCTTCAGTTTTCTCTTTGTATCTGAAGGCTGATTCCTTGATAGGTGCTTCAAGGAGAATGAATATCACTTGAATATCATAGCACTAAGAGAAATTAGTAAAGTACCATTTTTTGATGGTGCTACAAAAGTTAAATACAAAGCAAAGCCATAGTGCCTTATGTTATTCTCTTATTTGTTGGAAAAGCCCTGGGTCTTCCTCCTCACCCCTCTTCTCTCAGCACAAAAAGAAACCAAAACCCACTATATGTTTATTCTTTGAATGCATAGTTAAAATTTCAACCCATTGTGTTAAAGATAACTCGATTTTCTTGATGTTTTGTTTCTGTTTTCAAACTGAATGCTCTTCTTGATTGTATCTATTTCATGAGGTTATTAAATAATAAAGTGGATGGTGGTTTGGTGGTTTAGTCGCTAAGTTGTGTCCGACTCTACAACCCCATGGGCTGTAGCCCACTAGCTCCGCTGTCCATGGAATTTTCCAGGCCAGAATACTGGAGTGGGTTGCCATTTCCTTCTCCAGGGGATCTTCCAGACCCAGGAATTGAACCCCGGTCTCCTGGCATTGCAGGCAGATTCTTTACCAACCGAGCTACAAGGGAAGCCCCAGTAGGACAACCACATAAAATTCTTAAGAGCCCTGGAACATGGTAAATGTTCAATACACTGGAACTGTCATCATTGTTAACACTATCATTTTCATTGTTAGAACCATTCTGGCCTCTAGCTTGTTTTTATCTCTTCTAAAATGCCTTGACTACCTTCCCATATCAGACCATGGATATATACATTCTTCATTTTCATGGCTGTAGGATATTTCATGGTGTAGCTGTTAGTGAAGGAGGAATGTCTAGAGTAGGAATTGCCATCAAAGGGTATATGTAACTAGTCTTGCCATATTTTCCTCTAAAAAATGCAGTGTTCATACTGGTACTAAGCTGCGAGAGGGTATGGTGTAAGAAAGATGTTTATAGATTTGGTCCATGTCCCCAGTTCCTGGCACAGCACTCCTAGGACCCTTGGAATTTCCTGAGTAAAGAGAGTCTTTGGTTACTTCTGAAAGACTTTGGAGCTCCTTCCTCCCTACTTGAGTTTATACTAATAAGGTGACTCAAGACTGGTCCTCTGTCTTCAAGATTGAGGCTGGTCACCAAAAAGATAAAACGTGTGATTGGTTGGAACTTTCAGCACCCCTCACCCCCCAATCTTTTGGGAGGGGAAGGGAGCTAGAAATTGAGTTTAGTCACAAGTGTCCAGTAATTTAATCATTCATGCCTGTGTAATGAGACCTCAATAAGAACCTCTAAACACAGGGGTTAAGGGAACTTCTGGGTTGGTGAATACATGGAGATGGCGGGGAGCAGTGACTCGGGGGCAGTGTGAAAGCAGCGTGGCACTTCGCCCCCCACGCCTTCCCTGCGTCTTTTCCTGAGCTGCTCCCGACCTCTGTCCTTTACAGTTAACTGATACCTGTAAGTAAAGTGCTTTCCTGAGTTTTGTGGGTTGTCCTCAGGAATAGTTGAACCTAAGGGGTGGTCACAGGAACCCCTGAAGTTGTAGTCAGTGGGGCATAAGTGTGGGCAGCCTGGGTACTGCACCGTGGCTGAAGTGAGGGCAGCCGTGTGGGACTGAGCCCCTTCCCTGTGGGGCCTGAGTTACTAACTCTGCAGCTGGTGTTAGGATTGAATTGTTGGACTCTCAGTTGTTGTTGCAGAATTGGTGTGGAAAATCACAGGTATTTGGTTGACTTAAATTTGTAATAACTTGATGATTAGTGTAAATCCCAAATTTCTTTTTTTTCTTAAGCTGTTCTTCCATATGTTTGTATAATGAGTTCATCTGGTCCTCCTTCCCCTCTAATTTAATAGGGGTTTTATTAAATTTAGAAATTACTTGGCAGAGAATCAGCATCTTGGTAATATTTCTGTTTAGGGATTTGTGACTTTCCATTTGCTCAATGTTTGATATAACTTTCAGTAAATAATAGTATTTTCCTTTCTATAAGCAGGATTGTTTTAAAATAATTCACAACAGTACTTTTCTCTTTTAGCCCTGGTTCACAAGAAACTTTACCAGTAGATTTGAAAAACATCTTGGAGAAACAGTTTTCTAAGTCTTCCAGAGCCGCACACCAGGTAAAGGCAGAGACTTTGCTAAGGGAAAGAGACTCTCTGAACATAACCTTTTGTGACTGGAATCAAGTCTAATCACGGACCACTCTTAAGTTTTTGAGTTTTTCTAATGTAATTTTAGTTATGGACATAGAATTTAATAGATGATTGCTAAGAGACCAAACTATAATTAATTTAAATTTTAACTTGGTAATTATGTGAACCTGAGATTTAACTAATGGTTAATACTGCACGAGTGTTTGTTTCCCAAAGATTTAAAAGGAACAAGCAAGTCTTTCCAAAGATGTCAAGCTTTGGTGATCTTTGCTTCCCAAAGTTTTAACTTTTAAGTTAAATAATTTAAAAGGTTTAAATACCTGCAGTTTTATTACACCTACCATAAAACCATGAAGGAGCAAGCGTTTTATTCTTTGATTTATCAGATAACTGTATATAAAATTCTTTCTGATATTGAGTAAGTAATAGAAAATGTACCTTAAGGGGGAGGAAATGAATAGGCAGAGCACAGAGGATTTCTCAGGCTGTGAAAATCCTTTGTCTGATAGTATAAATGATAGATACATTATGCACTTGTCTGAGCCTATAGATTGTACACCAAGAGTGAGCCATAGGATTCACAGGTAAGCTGTGGGCTTTGGATGATTATGTGGTGTCAGTGTTGGTTAATCTTTGGTGTGAGAAAAAAAAAAAAAACTGTATGTCATTCTGATGAGTGATACTGATAGTGGGGGAAGCTACGTGTTTAAGGGAACAAGGAAGTATGTGGAAATATTTGTGCCTCCCTCTTAGGTTTTGTTTAAACCTAAAACTGCTCTCAAAGAAAGCATTTTAAAAAATGCAAGGGATACAGCTGAAAGATTACTTTGAAGGAAATTTATCAAGCTGAATGCATATATTAAAGGAACAGAGACATTTATGTATTCACTTGTTTATTGCTGCAGCACGTGGGTTCTTTGGTTCCCTGACCAGGGATTGAACCCACACTCCTTGCATTGGAAGTGTGGAGCCTTAATCTCTGGACCACCAGGGGATTTCCAAGACTTTTAAATTAGTGACACTTTCCTCCCAAGAACAAGGGAAAAAACAACAACAATAAAAGAAAGTAGAAGGAAATAACAAAGTAGAAAATAATGAAATGAGCCTCTCAACTTCTGAGATGGCCCACACTCTGTGGAGTGTGTTTCTCTCTAAATAAGTCTACTTCTTACCTATTAAAAGGAAAAGAAAGTAATGAAATGGAACAACACATAAAGGATCCACAGAGCTAAAAGTTGACTCTTTGTCTTTGACAATGTAAATAAAATTTACATACCAGTATGGAAACTAAACTGTGGTGTTGGAGAAGACTCTTGAGAGTTCTTTGGACTGCAAGGACATCAAAGCAGTCACTCCTAAAGGAAATCAACCCTAAATATTCTTTGGAAGGACTGATGCTGAAGTTCCAATAGTTTAGCCACCTGATGTGAAGAATGGACTCATTAGAAAAGACCCGGATACTGGGAAAGATTGAAGGCAGGAGAAGCAGGTGACAGAGGATGAGGTGGTTGAATGGTGTCACCGACTCAATGGACATGAGTTTGAGCAAACCCCGGGAGGTGGTGAAGGACAGGGACGCCTGGCGCACTGCAGTGCATGGAATCACAAAGAGTCGGACACGACTGAGCAGCTGAACAGCAGCAGACACTGGTTTCTCAGGTGACGCTTGTGGTAAAGAATCTGCCTGCACATGCAGGAGACGCAAGAGACTCAGGTTCTGTTTCTGGGTCGGGAAGATCCTCTGGAGAAGAAAATGGCAACCCATCCAGTAGTCTTGCCTGGAAAATTCCATGGGCAGAGGGGCCTGGAAGCCTCCATGTAGTCCATGGGGCCACAAAGAGTTGGAAACGACTGAGCACACATGGCAACTGATAAAAGAAGATACAATAAAGCAATTTCAAGAATGGAAAAGGTACATTACTTACAGACTCTTGAATATTACAATTACTATATCAAAATACTATTATGAACATTATACCAAGAAATTTGAAAATGTATATAGGTGAAATAGACAAATTTCTAGAAAAATCCAGCTTATAAAAACTGACTCAGAAAGAAATAGAAACTTTAACAGAATCCGTGGATTACAAAAAATTGTGGGAAATTCTTAAAGAGATGAGAATACCAGACCACCTTACCTGCCTCCTGAGAAATCTGTATGTGGGTCAAGAAGCAACAGTTAGAACCAGAGATGGAATGATGGACTGGTTCATAATTGGGAAAGAAGTACGTCAAGGCTGTATATTGTTACTCTGCTTATTTAACTTATCTGCAGAGTACATCATGCGAAATGCTGGGATGGATGAAGCTCACGCTGAAATCAAGATTGCCTGAAGAGATATCAATAACCCCATATATGCAGATCACACCACCCTTATGGCAGAAAGCAAAGAGGAACTAAAGACCTCTTGTTGAAGGTGAAAGAGGAAAGTGAAAAAACTGGCTTAAAACTCAAAATTCAAAAAACAAATATCATGGCATCTGGTGCCATCAAAAGAACAAAGAACAAAGTCAGTGAACTTAACACTATCCGCTTCTTATTTCAAAGAGAAAGAAAGTGAAGTCACTTAGTTGTGTCCGACTCTTTGCAACCCCATGGACTGTAGCCTGCCAGGCTCCTCCATCCGTGGGATTTTCCAAGCAAGAATACTGGAGTGGGGTGCCATTTCCTTCTCCAGGGCATCTGGGAGATGGAGCTGGGTCTCCTTCATTGCCGGCAGACACTTTCCTGCCTGAGCCACTAGGGAAGCCCTGGCCCGTCACTGCTGGTCCCGTCACTTCATGGCAAATAGACGGGGAAACAATGGGAACAGGGACCAACCTTGATTTTCCTGGGCTCCAGAATCACTGCAGACAGTAAGTGCAGCCATGAAATTTAAAAGACACCTGCTCCTTGGAAGAAAAGCTGTGACAAACCTGGATAGCGTGTTAGAAAGCCGAAACATTACTTTGCTGACAAAGGTCCGTCTGGTCAAAGCTATGGTTTTTCCAATAGTGATGTATGGATGTGAAAGTTGGACCATAAAAAAGGCTGGGCTCCGAAGAATTGATGCTTTTGAACTGTGGTGTTGGAGAAAACTCTTGAGAGTCCCTTGGACTGCAAGAAAATCAAACCAGTCCATCCTAAAGGAAATCAACCCTAAATCTTCATTGGGAGGATTGATGCTGAAGCTGAAACTCCAGTACTTTGGCCATCTGATGTGAGAGCTGACTCATTGGAGAAGACCCTGATGCTGGGAAGGATTGAAGGTAGGAGGAGAAGGGGACAACAAAGGATGAGATGGTTGGATGGCATCGCTGACTCGATGGACATAAGTGTAAGAAAACCCCAGGAAATGGTGAAGGACAGGAAAGCCTGGTGTGCTGTAGTCCATGGGGTCACAAAGAGTCAGACACGACTGAACAACAGAATCCAGAATTTCCAGAACCAACCATGACTACTCACTATTCCAGTCATTGAATACCTGTAGACTATTTTCGGTGAAAAGTTGTTTCCTTTGGTTAAATGTAATTCATACAAGTCTGCTTTGACAATTCAGTGCTCTATGTAAATATAGGTCTATGTCTTCTAAAATAAAATACTGGATTTAAATCCCCCCCAAATAAATATTAACATGGAACACAATACTCATTTCAATATATGGGTCATTTTAAAATTCTTCTATCTATTTTAGGTATATATGACATTTCTTTTTAAGGTCTGTTGGGATGAAGCAAGTTTCAAGCATTTTTAATGTTTCCTAGGTTAGTTTCAACAGCTTTCTAATTAGTTGCGTGAAAGCATTTTTAGAGTTTCTAACAGTGATTTAATTGTCACTTTATTTTGATTTTACTGATCCTAAAGACTGAGGAACTTAAATATTAAAGACAGTTTGTAAAGACAAAAGATTGCTTAAATAAAAATGATAGTTATTTTTGATCCTTTATTTGTTTAACACACTTTTACTTAGGCCCCTGTATATGCTGAGGACTGGCAGTGCCATTCAGCCCACTCATGGAGCTTTCAGTACAGACCACTAACTTGCACTGTATTGAGAGGATTAATTAGTAATGGAAACATAAGGCAAATGGATCTGCTTTCTAGAATGAAAGATTAGAATGGAATTAGTTCATTCAAGGCTAATAAACCAGTATGTGTGCAGATAGCACATCATCTTCTGTGAGTGTTAAAATTCTTAACATAAACATAGCTGTTGTTGAGCTATTTAAATACTGCATAGCAGATACCAAGTTTATGTGAGACCTGCTCTTTTCTGTGTGTATTATGGGATAAAGTTCTTTTCAACTTGGATTCATTGGACAGAAAGCAATAGGCAGCTTTGTTTATGTGACCAGACTGTTTTTCCCTCTGTGCTTTGTGCAGTGGGGTCTCCTTTTGAATCCTTATTGTTAGAAACAGTGAGGAATGTCATGCACATATTTGCGTTTTCTGCTCCAGTGAATAGTGTACACATGTATGTCAAGGCGTGAGGAGATGTAAGTTTAGCCTGTAGTCTTATTTCTCCAGTCTTCATACAACTTTTCTGGCCTATAGCTGTTGCTGTGTAACTAAAATCTGAATTCAAATTATAATGTATATGCTCATGTATATTCAGATTATAAAGTTTTTCTCACTTTATTTCAGGATGCATTATAGCCATTTTGTCTTTATGCTCTTCCCTTTGCATTTAGCCTAGTGTTATAATATCTCTCCCAATAATTCTAATTATATTCAAGTACATGTTAGGCAGGAATAGAGCTACTGATTGAAGTAGCCATTTCTTGCTGCGGATTAGGGTTTTTTCCAGGGCATGAGGGCAGTTGTTAAAATCTGATAGTGACCCATAAATTGCTTGCTTGTTCTTACTTGTCTAATTATTCAAGTCTCAGCCAAATAATATACTTACTTAAATGATGGCTAATGTTCCCCATTTATGCTATTAAAACTTCCAAACACTGTCTGTCTAGTCTGGTAAAGAGAACACAGGTTAGTATTATAAAGTGAACCACCCTTTCCTGTCATGGGCAGCACTGGAAATGTTAGAATTAAGATGTAAAGCTGTACGTTTTAATTTCTACTTTAATGGTGCTATGCTGAAAAAGGACTGTAATGCAGAAAGGTTAGCTTTGTATATTTTATGATCAGTTATAAAGTGTAACTGCTTGATGAACTTTGGCATCTTACGTTTTAGAGTTAACATGCATAACTCTAGACTACTGGAGTGGAATTTCTTTTTGCAGGATTTTGCTAATATAATGAAAATGCTGAGAAGCTTAATCCAGGATGGCTACACGGCCTTGCTGGAGCAGCGGTGCCGCAGTGCCGCCCAGGCCTTCACAGAGTTGCTCAACGGCTTAGATCCTCAAAAAATAAAGGTAAAATCACCTCCTGGTGATTTGCTTTCAGTGCTTACGCATTTCAGAGGAATGTAGAAGAGAACCAAACTGTGGTTCATTGTTCCAATGTATCTTCGGCCGTGCTGAGATTGGCCGAGCCTCCTCCAGGCTGTGAGGAGTGGACGGCGCTCTGATTCGGCTTATGTGGCTGCGCCAGCTCTACTGCCCAGGTTCAGGCTCTCGTTGCGCTCCAGCTGGTGCTCGTTAGGGCTCTGGCCTTTCCTCTTTATTAGAGTGCACAATCAAGGATGTGGACTCACTTTAGTCACGTCTTTTTATCTGCAAAGAAAGCATTGGCTAGGTAAAAAGTTTATGCAGGATTGTGAGAGAGCGAATATTGAGTTGGCCATAAAAGTTTGAGTTTTTCGTAAGATGGTATGGCAAAACCCGAATGGACTTTATGGCTAACCCAAGAATGTAGTCTATTACTATTCCCATTTTTATGCAGAAGAATATGATATCAATTTTTCTATTATGAGCCATGCCTTCAAGTAATTCTGATTCAGTGATTCTGTGAATACTTCATAGCAATATAATTGCATATCTTTGTAAAATATGTTTTCTAATTGTTTGGCCTTGACCCAATAGCAATTAGATTGTTTATACTTCTTTTACTGTTGTGGTTATCATATCAATACAGTGTCAATTGGGCAGAATTATGTTCAGATATTTAACAAGAGGATTTTTATTGACAGCAATTGAACCTGGCCATGATTAACTACGTGTTAGTAGTCTATGGACTTGCCATTTCACTCCTTGGAATAGGACAGCCCGAGGTAAGATTTGTAACAGTGATAATAGACTGTTAAAATAAATAACTTTTTTTTTCCTTTGATATTTTTTTTTCATTTATTTTTGGAGGCTAATTGCTTTACAATATTGTTAGTGGTTTTTGCGATACATTGACATGGATCAGCCATGGATTTACATGTGTTCACCATCCCGATCCCCCCTCCCGTCTCCCTCCCCATCACATCCCTCTGGGTCTTCCTGGTGCACCAGCCCTGAGCACTTGTCTCATGCATCCAACCTGGGCTGGTGATCTGTTTCACACTTGATAGTATACTTGTTTCAATGCTATTCTCTCACAACATCCCACCCTTGCCTTCTCCCACAGAGCCCAAAGGTTTGTTCTGTACATCTGTATCTCTTTTTCTATTTCGCATATAGGGTTATCGTTACCATCTTTTTAAATTCCATATATATACGTTAGTATACTGTATTGGTGTTTATCTTTCTGGCTTACTTCACTCTGTGTAATGGGCTCCAGTTTCATCCATCTCATTAGAAAAAATACGCCATTAACTTTAGAAGATGTGTTAAAATAGTTTTCCCATCTGGGCTTATTTCCATCTGAGTACTTTTTTTCTCTTCCAGTTTTACTGAGATATAATTGACATATAGTTCTGTATAATTTTAAGGTGTACAGCATAATGATCTGACTGATGCAAATCATGAAATGATTAGCACAGTAAGTTTAGTGAGCGCTGTCTGTGTACTTTCTTGAGAGTTTTTTCTACACTTGATCTTGGCCAAAAGGCTGAGAGCAGTGATAATTTTTCCTGAAATGCCTAAATTTAATTAGTTTGTGGTTTTTTTTTTTTTTTAAGAAAATGTAGTTTGTATTTCCATTAGAAAAAAGTTATGCCAGGCCACCAGTGGAAATCTACTTTTTATTCATACAAAAAGTAAAGAACCTGATGTATCATGATAAATTTTGGAAATACATCAAGGGAAAAAGGCAAGTTGGAAATGTAGTAAACAATGTGATACCACTTATGTACAATTCGGAATATTCACAGAGCAGAAGTATATATTGTTTATGGCTATCTGCATCTTGTAAAAGAAAAAAACATGAACTAACCTTATATATCAGGTTTAAGGTAATGGAAGAAAGGAATGGGACTCAAGAGGTTAAAAAAGAGTTCAGCTTTGTGTTATACTGTTTTATTTTAAAAAACATAATAAAAATGCTAATGTTAATAGCTCTTGGTTCTGGATAGTCCGTACCTGAGTATTTTGTCATTTCCTAGAGTTCAGGCTTCCCATAACCACTTGCAGTCAGGGTGTGGGTGTGAGCACGCCTGGTGTCCGTTACTCACTGTCCTTGAGCACGCTCCTCGAAAGCTTACTTACCTGCACTGCCCAGCATTATACTCTGCTTTCCATGGTGTTGGATTTTTTGAAAAAATTAGAAATGGTTCTAGAATTAACCTCAGGTAGAAATTACCCTGTCTACCAACTTAGGCTCCAAGCTTCCTAGGCTTAACCCTAACAGCTACCTAAAGAGGTTCACTTTCTGAGTGGTCCACAGAGCCTGAGGGTCGTTTTCCCCATGACAGGCTGCTTTCCTTGTTCTGATGCAGCAGATGCATGTCTTCCATTAGGGACTCACTGACTCTGTTTTCTGGTAGATTTTTGAAGACAGGGCGACATGTTCTCAACAGAGTAATAATAAATATCGTATTTTGCTTCATCAGAATTGAAGAAATCGTTTGTTACATTTTTAATTTACTTTGATTTAATTCTGATTTTAAAAAAAAACAGAATGATAGAATGTAAAAGAATGATAGACATTTAAAAGAATTTCATCAGAGTATCTCCAGAAGAAATTGATGTATTTACTCCAGAAAAGTCCTTGCTTTGGAATGCCTCCTTCAGAGCTGGCCTCAGAGCTTATTAACTCCATTCTGTAGTGACATTTCCTTTTTCATCCACAATGGAGTGATGACCAGTATTACTTTGAGCTGAATATCATTTGGATTTTTTCCAAAACAAAATTCATTCAAAGCCCAGAGGCTTCCACTGTTGAGAATAGTCAAAAGAATGTATTTTAAGTTCTAAATTTTTTACTGAATAGCTGTTTTTAAGACACAGCATTTGTCTTATGTCACAAAACATTGTGGCAACATTATTGGAATTCCTGTGACCCCAAGGGAGCAGTGCTTACTAGGATATATGTTATAGTGCATTTGCATCCAAATCAGTCTTTTTGCCATGAGCTTATGCCTTTTTTAGCCAGCACACACTGGGCCCTGTGTGTGTGTTAGTAAATGCTCATTTGGTGCTTTGGCTGTGTTCAGTGCCAACTTCTCATTCCAGAGCTGGATCATTTTGGTTCTGTGTCTGAATATCCATATGGTCATATTTTATGTAATTGCTAAGAAAATGAAATCCAGAAGGTGTAATTTTGCCATAGAAATTTTGGGGTATAGAGTTGTTTTTAATATTACACAAAAAGAATCAACCTTCAGGTAAAATCTGTTCCTAGCCTTTCTTTCTGTGTAAGTGATCACTATTCTCATTGCTGCCAAAGGAGTTATCTGAAGCTGAAAACCAGTTTAAGAGGATGATTGAACACTACCCCAATGAAGGACTTGATTGCTTGGCCTACTGTGGAATTGGAAAAGTGTATTTGAAAAAAAACAGGTTAGTGGAAACCACACTACATTATGCTCTAGGCTGGTGGCTCATTTGAAGTCTCATGTGATGATCCCTGTTCTGGAGTGATTTTGACATCTTCTCCTGCATACTGTGATAATTGTGTTTACTTTGAGGACTGGCATTTCAATATTAATTATTAAAGTCAACAATTCAGTTACCAGTGCTTTCTAATTTTGAATCTAATAAACTCATTAATAATGTGGTACAATAAGTTTTATAGTTTAGTATATGTCATCTATAAATTGTTACTGAATTGATACAGATGAATGGTTTACATTACCCCTTCATGGGTCACAGCCTTGTAGTGAAGGGACTTGTTTACTCAGTGAAGCTACGAGCCTTGCCGTGTGGGGCCGCCCAAGGACGGGTCACAGTGAAGAGTTCTGACAAGATGTGGTCCACTGGAGGAGGCAATGGCAAACCGCTCCAGTATTCTTCTCCTCCTTCACTGATTACAAGAAAATCTTTGACTGTGTGGATCACAACAAACTATGGGAAATTATTTAAAGAGATGGAAATACCACATCACCTTACCTGTCTCCTGAGAAACGTGTATGCAGGTCAATAAGCAACAGTTAGAATCTTACATGGAACAACTGACTGGTTCAAAATTGGGAAAGGAGTATGACAAGGCTGTGTATTGTCACCCTGTTTATATAACTTACATGCAGAGTCAGTTCAGTTCAGTTGCTCAGTCCTGTCCGACTCTCTGCGACCCCATGGACTGCAGCACGCCAGGCCTCCCTGTCTATCACCAACTACTGGAGCTTGCTCAAACTCATGTCCATCAAGTTGGTGATACCATCCAACCATCTCATCCTCTGTCATCCCCTTCTCCTCCTGCCTTCAATCTACATGCAGAGTACATCATGTGAAATGCCAGTCTGGATAAATCACAAGCTGGAATCAAGATTGCTAGGAAAAATATCAACAGTCTCGGGTAGGCAGATGATACCACTCTTAATGGCAGAAAATGAAGACAAACTAAAGAGCCTCTTAATGAGGGCAAAAGAGGAGAGTGAGAAAGCTGGCTTAAAGCTCACCTTTCAAAAAAAAATAAGGTCGTGGCATCCAGTCCCATCACTTCATGGCAAATAGAAGGGGAAAAGTGGAAGCAATGACAAATTTATTTTCTTAGGCTCTAAAATCACTGCGGATGGTGACTGCAACCATGAAATTAAAAGATGCTTGCACCTTGAAAGGAGACCTATGACAGCCTAGACAGTGTATTAAAAAGCAAAGACACTTTGCTGACAAAGGTCCATATAGTCAAAGCTATGATTTTTCCAGTAGTCATTATGGATCCAAGAGTTGGACTATAAAGAAGGCTGAGTGCCAAAGAATTGATGCTTTTGAATTGTGCTGGAGAAGATTCTTGAGAGTCAATCCTAAAGGAAAATCAACCCTGAATATTCATTGGAAGGACTGATACTGAAACTGAAGTTCCAATACTTTGGCCCCCTGATGTGAAGAGGACTAAATGCAAAAGACCCTGATACTGGGAAAGATTGAGGGCAGGAGGAGAACCAGGCAACAGGATAAGGTGGTTGGATGGCATCACTTACTCAATGAACATGCATTTGAGCAAACTCCAGGAGACAGTGAAGAACCAGGAATCCTGGCTTGCTGCAGTCACCTATTCTCCCCTCAAAACTTGTATGAGGATGGTTTTAATATGAAGTATATATTTGTTGAAAGACATCATGAGTTAGAAGGAAAAAAGCAAACAAAATCTTTTCTGAACTTGTAGTTGAAGTCCTTACTCAAACTTTTAATACTTATCTGTTCCCTGTTTCATGTCTTACCTCCCCAAATGTCTATATGAGCATTAGGGGCAGGATTATGACTTGAGCTTTTAAAAAAAACAAAAACAACTCCCTGTTCCTGCCACTTAACACCCACTATGTTAGGTTACTTTTAATAAGAAATAATTAACTTATTGATTATTATTCATAACTTTAAATTATCCTTAAATTTTCATCTTAACTGTTTAGAGGAAATGTTATCAGACCAATAGGACTCTTGAGAACTCAACCTTAGAGGTTGTCTAGAACCTTCTTGAAAGGTCTTTAAAGATTAAAGAAATTTCTTTTACTTTCTAAAGCTACTGTCTGACCAGCTCAACTCTGTTAAGAATCAGAGGTGGTGAGGATTTTGCAGTCATTTTCATGGTAATGACAAATGCAATTAATTTGAAAGGTTAGTGTAAGTTGTTTAAGACACACCCGTTTAATGCAGTGACCACGTGTAGATATTCACTGGCTCTAGGAAAATAACATAAATGTGTAACATCATGGAGGTTGTGGTAAGTGAAGAAGTGTTTACCATTTTGAAAGTCATTTAAATTTTTGAAAAATTTTATTGAGGTATAGTTGATTTACATTGTTGTGGAAAGGCTTTTAAATTTTAATTTCAGAATAATACAGTTTGGCATCCAGTGACCAATAAGCTAGCTGGTTTTTTGCTGTTGTAATGTGTAGTCTCTGGTTTAAAGTCTGGTTTAAAGTCTTTATAACTGTCTTATGGTGGATGGTCTACCTTTTATGCAGGTGAGGTTACCTATGCAAAGGTAAAAATGACTTCTTCAATTGGGAGATGGTTTCAAGATTGAAGAACAGGAAACCTTTTGCTTCTCTAGTCTTGACAGGAGGAATAAAGACTGGGAAAACCTTATAATTCATTATTCTAGTATTCTTTGGTTGAATGAACTTTGGGAATCTATTGGTATTATTTTTCTAAACTGTAAATTGGCACTAAAACATACCGTATTTATAGTAAAACAGTTTGCATACATCTTTGTTAAAATAATTAACTGCTTTATAGCTGAAGAAGGATGTCCAGAATACATGAGCTCTTTAACAGTTTTACAGTAGAGGGGTTTTGTTGTAGCTGTTTTAAATGAATCAAGGTAAAAAAAAATGCCCCGTTTATGATGAATTAGTTGAAGTGGACCTGTGGTGTTGCACTACAAGGATCTGCTTTAATTAGATTAGTAAATTAAATAAAAATGGACCAACCAAATTTATTCAGTTTTCTGTTTTAATTGTGGAAAACTTTAAAAAATGAATTACAGCTTTTAACGAACTAGTGTGCACCTGCCATATAGTAAAGCCAGTGTCCTGGTAGATTCCTGTTTAATTTATATTACTTTTGAAGCAAAGGGTGGTAATGTCTTGGTTTTTTGAAGAAGATATGGGTTACTGTGAATATTTCTGTGCAGTGATTTGTCAAATGTACTATTCCTGGTAAGCTTGAATTCTCTGTGCCTTTTGGGGAGTGGAAATTCATGTCTCATCTTTAATACCTTCTCTGTAATTGTGACTTTAGATTTTTAGAAGCTCTTAATCATTTCGAGAAAGCAAGAACCTTGATCTGTCGTCTTCCTGGAGTGTTAACTTGGCCCACAAGTAATGTGGTTATTGAGGAGACTCAGCCAGGGAAGATAAAGGTAATTATTTCTGTAGAGCTTCTTATTAACCATAAAAGCTCACCTGCACTCCTGTGCTCTTGACTCAGGTATAAGATGACAGAGAGGTGGTAGCACTTTGTCCTCAGCTCCTCCATGTCCTGTTTAAAAACTGGTGGAATCACCAACATTTATTGAGTATTTCCTATTTGCCAATCACACACCTTCCATTTATCATTACCTTTACCCCTTCCAGCAACCATATGTGATGAGCACTGTGATTATTCCCGTTTGACAGATGAGGAAGATTGTGTTTAGACAGATTAAGTGATGAGTTCAGGATTAAACAGCTCGGAAATGGTGGAGATGGGACTTGAATCCAGGCATTCTGGCTAGAGTGTGCACTATTAAGCAGTGTGATATGCTGGTTGTACTTAGAGAAAGATTTCACATTATTGTTTCATTATAATTTCTATAGTTATTGACATTGTATTTGAAGACCTAAAAGGTCTTCATATCCAGAATCATGGGGTGCTTTGCCAGTTCTAGAAAGACTAAATCATGTAACTTGACTGGGATAGGCCTTTACTTGTGGTGAGCCCTGGTGTATACTCAGAACTTGGTTTTAACTAGAGCTTTTATAAGCCTAGGAGTCAGCTCTTACAACTTAGTAGTAAGAAGACACTCTAATTAAAAGTAGCTGAAAGATCTGCATAGGAGTATCTGCCAACAGCTTGTATAAATAGATGATAAATGTGCCAAGTGTTTTCAACAGTTAGCCATCAGAGAAATGCAAATGAAAACAGGGTACCACTTCACACCCATTAGGGTGGCTATAATAAAAAAGACAGTACAAGTGTTGGCAAGCATATGGAGAAATCAGAACCCCTATACATTGCTATAAAATTTAAAATGGTGGAGATGCTTTGGACAACAGTCTGGCAGTTCTTCATTGGTTAAAGATAGAGTTACAAAATGACTGAGCAGTTTCACTCCTAAATATACTCAGAGACAGGAACACGTAAGTTTTCCTGAAAACTTATACATGAATGTTCATAGTAGCATTATTCAGAATAGTCAAAAAGTGGAAAGAACTCAAAGGCCATTAGCTGATGAATAGTTAAATAAAATGTGGTGTATCCATATAACACATTTGGCCATAAAAAGGAGTGAAGTAATGACACATGCTACAACATAGATGAACCTTGAAAACGTTATGCTGAGTGAAAGAAGCTGGGTATGAAATGCCAGATACTATGTGATTCTGTTTATCTGGAATCTCCAGAATAGAACTTCGTTCTTTGGGGGCTGCACCACATAGCATGTGGGATCTTAGTTGCCCAACCAGGGATAGAACCTGTGCCCCCCGCAATGGAAGCACACAGTGTGTTAACCACTGGACCTCCAATGAAGTGCTCACAATAGGAAAATCTATATATGGGGGCAGATAGTAGATTAGTGGTTGTCAGGGGATAGGGGACTGAGGAAAGATGAGGGATTGCTCATGGGTATGGGATTTCTTGTTGGGTGGTGAAAATGTTTTAAATTTAGGCTATGGTGATAGTTATACGACTCCAAGCCACTGAACTATACACTCTAAGTACATGAATTGTATGGTACATGAATTATATATGAACAAAACTGTTATAAGAGATAAAACGGGGACTGTTGGATTTTCCTCTCTATTCTGGACTGGGATGGAGGCACTGGAACTGTTGGTAACAGTGAGCCGTCCTGGGAAGCCTGGCATGCGTCTTAGGGGCTTTGGTGGCAGTGGTGCAATTCTTCAGGGGAGGGGCAGGCACAAGTGCAGAGACGCGGGCAGGAGGGCGAATGTCAGGAGGCAGGTCGCAGGTGACGTGACCTTGGGTGGAACAGGGGAGTCCTAAGATTAGGCACCTATGAATGCCTAAAGGCGGTTTCTCAGAGGTGTGTATTGTAAAATGAGGTTTGAGGATTACAACAAAGGATAAGATTTTGATTCAGTCTGAAATTCTGAAGATTTTTTGTTCAGTCCTTTTCTTCCATTCTCTTCTCAGCCTGTCTCTGTATCAGCCTCTCTCCAGGACGAAAACCTTTATAAGGTTGTATGTAGTTCTTGGCTAAAAGGCATTTCGTCCTTCCTGTGCTGAAAATATTTTGATGGCAAGAGATTATTGAAAGAATTTGATTGATGAATTAGTGTTGTCATATCATTTTTGTGTTCTTTTGTTGTAGATGCTGTTAGAGAAATTCGTTGAAGAATGCAGGTTCCCTCCAGTGCCAGATGCCATTTGTTGCTATCAGAAGTGCCATGGATATTCCAAAATCCAGATATACATAACTGATCCAGACTTTAAGGTACAGAATGAGGGTATACCAGGACATTAACTTGCTGAATTGGGCCTGAAAATGGTTTCAGAACAAATTCTTTAGTTGGAGACACCCAAGTTCTCTGACTTGTCAGCAGCTTCACATCCGCTTGTCTGCCCCATCCCCTGACTTAAGTCTGCATCATCTCACATGGGGGCCCAGAGTCATTGAAATAAACACTGAGGGCAGTGATGGTGACCTGAGAAGGCAGGCTAGCTAATTCCACTTCCCCCTTCTAGCCACCGTTTCATATAATTGCCTGCTCCTTAGGAGCACAGGAAACAAAGTGAGGTAATTACCCTGATTTGCTGCAGTTCTAATTTCTTACATAATCTGAGTCCAAGAATCTGAAGAATTGAAATCTAAGAATCATTCTGGTCACTGAATAACTCCTGGAGACCTAAATGTGAGACCGAGTCTGGCAGTTAATTGAGTGAATAGAATGCTGCACCTTAGTTTATTCAAGAAGATAGAAGGTGCCCACTGTGCCTGGTTAGTAGTTCAGATGAAATAAAGTTTATAAAGTATTTGATATTTTGTACACCACTCCAGTATCCTCTCCTGGAACATCCCCATGGACAGAGGAGCCTGGTGGGCTGCAGTCCATGGGGTCACAGAGTCAGGCACAGCTGAGTGACTTAACACTTTCACTTTCAAAGGAATACACAACTGTAAATCGTGGAAATCGAATGTCAGTCAAGCTCAGTGTTCTCAGCGCTAGGCAGTCTGCGGTGTGAAGTACTATACTCCCCTAGGAGGAAATATGACATCTAGTCATGTCTGCCAGGTGAATGCAAACAGGTCTCTATCTTATTATGTGTTGTGGGTGTGAAACAGAGAGTGAGTGTATGTACACTTTTTTAAGATATGAATTAAAAATTGTTTTAAAACCCCAGGGTTTTATACGAATCAGCTGTTGCCAGTATTGTAAAATAGAATTTCACATGAACTGCTGGAAGAAGTTAAAAACAACAACCTTCAATGATAAAATTGACAAGGTAAGTAAGACTAACAAGATTTTCTGGATTTTTTAGTGTGCTTATTGTATACTGATTTTTCTTCCCCGAGAACCTTCAAGAAAAGTCTTAACTGAATATGAATTTCTCTCTTTGTGTGAGACGTAACTAGAAGGTATTAAAGTTTTAATGATAAAGTAGAAAGTTTTTTCATTTATAAAGTGTAAAGGCAGTAACCATAGAGGATTTTAATAAATTGTTGAACTCCTCCTATTATGTTGGTAATGTATGATCAAAAATAAATGATCTAATGTGATGATGTAGAATTGGGGCCTCAAATTTTTTATTTTCTAAAAAAGTTTGAGATAATTTGTACTAAGAAATCAACTTAAATTTTGTACTGCCATATTTGTTTGGGGTTTCTCTTCATTAGCAAGATAATTATGTTAATTGCCATTAGCCAGATATATTTTGAGAGCAGTCACAGTTTTTTTTTTAGTTCTACCACTTTATTGCTACCAACCCATCTCCCTCCACCCTCATGCACACATGCTCATGTAACCCCATGGACTGCAGCCCGCTGGGCTCCTCTGTCCATGGACTTTTCCAGGCAAGAATACTGGAGTGGGTTGCCATTTCCTTCTCCAGCAGTCACAGTTTAATAATCTTCATTCATAGACTTTGTTTCTGATCCATATAAACTATGGACTTAAAAAAAAAAAAAAAAAAAGAAAACCTTATTCTACACTACTTAGCCTCATATAAACTTCTGTCCTTATTGAGGATAAGAGAATAAGGTGGTTGTGCTAGGTGAATGTTAGCAATAGTAATTACTCAAGTTAAGTAAAAATGAGTTCTCACATTTTACACATTTTCATGTTGTTATCTAGAGGTGTGATGATGTGACCAAATAACTGTTGCCGTTGAGCCGCTCTTGCTATGTCTTTGTCTCACTTTAATTGAACTTCTCTAGCCATACCCTTGGGCGGTGGCGCTGTAGCTCGGATGGTAAAGAATCCGCCTGCAATGCAGGATACCCGGGTTCGATTCCTGGGTCGGGAAGGTCCTCTGGAAAAGGGCATGGCAACCCACTCCAGTATTCTTGCCTGGAGAATCCCATGGACAGAGGAACCAGGTGGACTATAGTCCATGGGATCGCAAAGAGTTGGACACGACTGAGCGACTGCCACTACCAGCTATACCCATGCCCTTAGTGGTCCTAACCATTCCCATGGGTTGAAGTACCCTTTGTAGATTGGCTTTCACTGGGGTACCTTGAAGTAACTCAAATGTCTCATGACTTGAAGTAAGAAAGGCTTGTTTCTTGCTAACATTACTTGTCTTGCAGTTTTACAGTTGTCCAGGATTGGGCAGTGGCAGCTCCGGTATGTGGGGCTCTGGGCTTTGTTTCTGAATTGAGGTTGAGGAGTGACTGGGACATGTTACTGTGATCTAAAGGAAGGAGTAGTAGCCAGTCCACTCAGTGTTTCTTAAAGCTTTGGTGTGGATGGTAGCACACGTCAGGGCAGCTCACCTTAAGTGACCAAGTGAGTCGCTGTGGACAGCCCTGCAACTGGAGGCTTTGGAAATCAGATGTCAGTGAACAGGAACTTTGCAGTACCTCCTGAAGAAGGTTTTAGGTTATATTTTGACTGTTCTGTGGTTATAATGGCATACATGTGTACATTTATGCCAAGATGTAACCTCCCCCCACCCCGTTTTTAAATCAAATAGGATTTTCTGCAAGGAATTTGTCTTACTCCTGACTGTGAAGGAATCATTTCAAAGATTATCATCTTCAGCAGTGGTGGTCAAGTTAAATGTGAAGTAAGTAGACACTGGGGAAATGTCATTAAATTGATAACCAAAATGCTTATATCTTATGAAATATGATGTAAATTTCTAGAACTTACACTATTTGGATCTTGCATTTTCCAGGAAGGAAGTAGTTACTTAATGTAAGAATGCCTTTTTTTTTTTTTTTAAAGAATGCATCTTTGGAATTAAGGATTCTCATGTTCTTTTGTCTCCCAAAAGGAAAAGGAGAATTTTAACATATCAGTTTTACTGATTTTACTCCTTCTGATAACCTTGTTTTTTAAATTGCCAATAAACCTTTTGGTGTTGGCAAGGTGGGGGATCTTAGGGAGGGAGGAGAGTGTCTTGAGCCTCACTATGTGGGAGCTGCAGGAGTGGGTTGTTTTAATGACATCTGTCGTTTATTTGATCTTCTGCTTACTCTTAATTTTTTTTTTTTAACCTTCTATAACTGTGACTACTCTTTTGTTCCTTATTTTCAGTAAATTTTGTTGCTAAAGTATTCTGGGCTTTTGTTTGGGTCAGAGTATCATCACTGTTCTCTATGAAACTGAATGTTGACTATGTTTTTGAAATGCTTGTTAAACCTGTGATTTTATGCTTAATGTCATGGGAGCATGAGACAAATTTTAGATGTCTCTGTTTTATTTAAAGTTTGAACACAAGGTGATTAAAGAAAAGGTTCCTCCAAGACCTATTCTGAAACAGAAATGTTCTAGGTAAGATTTTTAAAAAATTAGTAGGTTAATAATGTCCAATACAATTCTGTTAAATGCACATTTCTAAATAATGCTGTTTTAAAAATTGGCTCAGCACACATATTCAAATAAGTAGCTTTTAAGTGAATGTTATAGGTATTTATAACTTTCAAAACAACTTAACTTCTCTGGTAGCTTCCAGATGGTTAAGTGTCTGCCTACAACTCGGGAGACCCGGGTTAGATCCCTGGGTGGGGAAGATCCCCTGGAGAAGGAAATGGCAACCCACTCCAGCATTCTTGCTTGGAGAATCCCATGGATGGAGGAGCCTGGTGGGCTACAGTCCATGGGGTCGCAAAGAGTTGGACACAACTGAGCGACTTCATTTTCACTTTCACTTTAACCTCGAATAGTTAAATGCTAAAAACTTGAATAAGAAGCATTATTTAGTGATTAAATTTATAAGTAAAATTATAACATTTGAACTATGAAATGACATATGCAGTAGATTTGGCATTTGGATAAAAATTACATACTTAGTTCTCAGTTTGCACTTTAATTCCAAAAGCATCTTTCCTTTTGTTTTCTTCAGCAAACATTTTGAACCACTGACTCTTTCTCACCCTGAAATACTCAACAGACTGTCAAAACTAGTCACTTTTCTGTTATCTTTTGTTCAAGTCAAATAATTCAGTCCTTTTTTCTTTTCTTTTTTGCCCTGCTTCTTGTTTTCCATTTTTAGAAGTTATTTTTTTAAATCATTGGTGGCCAAGAAAAAGCAAAAGAAAAGATGAATAATTTGTTGAAGAGAATTTATTGTAGCCATATTGACCAAATTTGAGTGTTGTAGATCATTATTGGGTTGTGAAAATGATATTTTACTGTGGAAATTAGTATTTACATGTATTATCTTGCATAGTAATTTTTTACTATTCCTCTTTACCCTAACAGTATCTTCTATACATGGGGATAACATCTGTATGATCTATATATGCCATCCTTAATTAGAAATCACTTAGTCATTGATGTTCTTGTTTTTATGCAACAAGTACAGTTGTTTCGACTGAATTGACCACGTGTCTGAAGTTTTTGATATTGAACAGAGGATATAGTCCCAAGTTCTAACTAAAAAAGAAAACTTCCAGCTTATTGTTTGGAGAATGGCTTCTACAGTAGGCAAAGGAAGGTAGTTGACTGAGTTCATAACAAAAGTGAATTGTCACTAACTGTAATTATTTACTAGCCTAGAGAAGTTGAGGCTGAAAGAAGACAAAAAATTGAAGCGAAAGCTCCAAAAAACGGAAGCAAAAAAATTAGCACAAGAAAGACTGAAAGAGGACTTAAGGGAAAGTAACCCACCAAAAACTGAAGAGCAGAGAGGTATGCTGGGAGTCTGAGGCGTGATGAGAACCATATATTCTTGCTTAAAAGTGTGAATGCAAATATTCATCTTGTTGGGCTTTATCAATTCAGTTCAGTTCAGTTGCTCAGTCATGTCCGACTCTGCGACCCCATGAACCGCAGCACACCAGGCCTTCCTGTCCATCATCAACTCTCGTAGTCCACCCAAACCCATGTCCATCGAGTTGGTGATGCCACCCAGTCATCTCATCCTCTGTCGTCCCCTTCACCTCCTGCCCTCAATCCTTCCCAGCATCAGGGTCTTTTCAAATGAGTCAGCTCTTTGCATCTGGTGGCCAAAGTATTGGGGTTTCAGCTTCAGCATTAGTCCTTCCAGTGAACACTCAGGACTGATTTCCTTTTGGATGGACTGGTTGGATCTCCTTGCAGTCCAAGGGACTCTCAAGAGTCTTCTCCAACACCACAGTCCTAAAGCATCAATTCTTCGGCGCTCAACTTTATAGTCCAACTCTCTTTGAATTGAAATTTAGATTTCCCTTGGTATTTTAATACTATCGCCATCTTTTGATTATGCTGAGATGGGGAGGGGAGTGGTATAAGAAACATTAAATTTAAAAGTAAGATACAGGAATTGAAAATACTTTCCTGCCACTTAGGGCAAATTGTCTCAGTTCCCTTATCTCTAAAGTGAATGCGAAAATAATACTTGAAATTGCACACATATGTTTGAACTGTAAATTAGCCACTGATTATCTGACATATGCTGCTTCATATAAAGAAGCAGTTCATATAAGATGCCAGAGAGATTACCTTGTGTTTTATGCTCATCTCATCAGCATTCCCTGATCAACATGGGAGCTGTCTCAGTGATTTACTGTCCCTGTGGACACATTTACTTTCAAGTTTGGTGGTTTTGTTTTTTTTTAATGTATGGTTTCAGGTGTACAACATAATGATTTGATATTTCTATATATTGCAAAATATTACCACAATAAATCCAGTTAACATCCACCACCATACATACAGAATTTTTTTTTCATGATGAGAACTTTCAAGGTCTACATGCAAATACTCAAAACAGTATTAACTGCAGTCATTGTACTTTGCACTGTATCCCCAGGACTACTTTCAGTTTTGAGGTAAATTATTCTCATTTTCTGATGACTGTTGCCAGCCTTAATATTTCCTCTTGCTGTCTTTGTTTTTCATCTTGTTGTTTAGTCACTAAGTCATGTCTGACTTTTTGCAACTCCATGGACTGCAGCACACCAGGCTTCCCTGTCCTTTACTGTCTCCCAGAGTTTGGTGGCTCAGACAGTAAAGCGTCTGTCTACAATGTGGGAGACCCAGGTTCGATCCCTGGGTTGGGAAGATCCCCTGGAGAAGGAAATGGCAGCCCACTCCAGTACTCTTGCCTGGAAAACCCCATGGACAGAGGAGCCTAGTGGGCTACAGTCCATGGGGTCACAAAGAGTCGGACACGACTGAGCGACTCCACGCCCACCACCAGAGTTTGCTCAGACTCATGTCCATGAGTCAATGATGCCACCCAACCGTCTCATCCTCCGTCACCCCCTTCTCCTCCTGCCCTCAATCTTTCCCAGCATCAGGGTCTTTTCCAAAGAGTTGGCTCTTTGCATCAGGTGGCCAGAATATTAGAGTTTCGGCATCAATCCTTCTAAAGAATATTCAGGGTTGATTTCCTTTAGGATTGACTGACTATTTCATTAATGTTTCAGAAATCAATCAGAACTGTCTTTTCTACTGAAAAAAATTTTAGGGAACATCATTTACTTTATATATTTTTTGTATTTGTATGTTATTTACTGTATTAGATTCAAGAGGCTAAATGGCCACTTTTGGGGGGAATGCCTGGGTAGGAAGATGCACTTTTGAGATACTGCAATCAGTAACTCCACAGGTCTACGATTTAGGATTCAACAGTAAGATAAATAACACATATTTATCCAAATTCAACCAAATATTGTTTTTATACCTGAAGCAATGATCCCTTCAATTCTGGGGGGTGGGGGGGAAGCTTTACATTCATCCCTGAAACATATTTATTGAATGTGAAATTTGAGTAGTTGATAAGGCGCAGTTAAGATTGTTGAGGAAAGTAACCTTATTTTAGAGAAACTAAGTTTTTAGATGTTACATGAGTGGTGCCAGTGAAGGAAATAAGATACTTGTTATGTTTGATTTACTGTGAACTTTCATGTCTTTTAAAGGCACTTTTAAAGTTAAATACTTTATATATCTATTTTTAAATGTCTTAGGTTATTTAAAACAACATAAAGAATACATCTGAGTCATGGGTTATATTGCTATGTGTTTCCCTAGTGGCTCCAACAGTAAAGAATTTGCCAGCAATGCAAGAGATGCGGGTTCGATCCTTGGGTTGGGAATATCCCCTGGAGAAGGGAATGGCTACCTAGTCTAGTATTCTTGCCTGGAGAATTCCATGGATAAAGGATCCTAGCAAGGCTACAGTCCCCATGGTCTCAAAGAGTCAGACACAACTGAGTGACTAACACTTTGACTTCACTTTCACACACAATATTAGGTTAAGTTTTTCAGAGTTTATGTTTTTGTAAATTGGTCCTCTTTCTCCTTTTTACTGACCACTGTTATTCATCCTTAGAAACTATCAACCATATCCAAAGTTGCCAGTTCCTTGATGACAGAATTCTGCAGTGCATAAAGCAGTATGCTGACAAGATTAAGTCTGGGATACTGAATACTTCCAAGCTTCTCAAAGAATTGCTTTCTTGGAAGGTTTTAACCACAGAAGACTACACAACATGTTTTTCTAGCAGAAATTTCCTGACTGAAGCAGTGGACTATGTCATTCGTCATTTGATCCAAGAAAAGAACAGAGTAAAGACAAGGGTATTTCTGCATGTTTTGAGTGAGCTTAAAGAAGTGGAGCCAAAATTAGCCACCTGGATCCAGAAACTTAATAGCTTTGGTACGTCTCTTAATTGTAGAGATGCATTTTCATAGGAGGATAAACACAGACCTCTGAATCCTTCTGCATTTTACTATCATTTATGATTTTTTTTAAATGTGGAACTACAAATTTGTATGATTAAAAAATACTATTTCCCGAAGTTCACAATTTTTAGGCTACCTTATAGATAGGTTACCTTGTGCTTTGTGAAAGATGTCAACACAGGAAAGTCCAGTCAGTAAGAAAGTCCAGTCCTGTGTTTTGCTCAACTATTGTCAGTGTGTTAACTTTGTGACTACTAGGCACTCCCCTGGGTAAATAGCACCCCTTGGAGTTAGCTGCTCAGGGGTGCTCTCTGGGATTGTGAAGAATTTGGATGGCAGAGTAGATGGAGCTATGGATAATTGGTTAGGATCACCTACGGTAGATCTGTATCTAAGGATCAAGAGAAATGTCCTGGGGCTGGCCTTCAGCATCGTGAATCACAGGATCATAAAACTCTGGTGTTCTGTCCTGATTTTCCTAGTTTGGTTGAGGAAGAACCTTCAAGCAGGCTCTTTACCAGACCTACTCAGGGACGATGGAAGGCAGCGGCAGAGAAAGCTGTCGACTGACCCTAAAGTCTGGGGTCCTTGGGCACCTACCATGGCCTTGTTTGTCCCGGTGACCGATGTGGCCACTGCCTAGCACAGTAGACGATTCATTCGGCAACTGTTGGGTAAAAGGCTACCGGGAGCCACAGCAGCGACCTGTAGAGATGAGCCTGACCTGCCTTAAAGACGGGAGCTGGTGAAACACTAGTTTCAGAGAATACACTACTGAGTTTCTGTCAGTGGTGACAAAGTGAGGTGGCAGTACACTTGGTGTAGTTGATCACTAATGTTGCTGCTGTGAACATACGTCTCCATGGGTTTCTGGCCCCATAAAATTTTTCCTAAGTGATGTTGCCATTAGTATCTACTAAACAGTCAGACAAAGAAATGATAAAGTTTTTGATATTTCTTTTAATTTGCTTTATTTAACAAAGAGATTAATTTAAATTGGGCAGTAGCGGGGTTAACATTTCAGTACTAGGTGTGATCTGCTGCCTTCCTCTCACCGAGCACGTGCTCCGATGTGAGCTGTAGGTGGAGATTTGAATGTGGTATTTCTTTATCCGTGATTGCCTTAAACCTTGTATCATGTGAGTATTTTACATGGTCGCTGATTCTCATGTTTAAATACACTGATTTTTCATGTAACATGACCTCTGCAAAGCTGTTGTGTCTGATCAGCCGTCCAGGGTAGTTTTGACTTGACAGGCTCTGCCGCATTTGCAGACTGAGAGCCTGTGACCCGTCCTGTGTTACAGATGTGGGGACAGAGAGCAGAGCCAGCCCTTACTTCTGGGGGCTGTGTTAGCGTGCAGCAGGGGCTCACCTCCTCTCAGTAGTAGTACACGAGGGTGCAGCCACCCCTTTTTCTGGAGTTGTAGAAGTGGGAGTGAAATCAGGAATAGTGACCACCTGGAATCTCGTGAGGAAGGTAAGGGGCCATGGTGTTCAAGGGGATGAGATCCAATTCTTGAAAGTGTTGGATGAAGAGTTTACCCATTTTCTGTTTTAAAGGCATTTGGGAAGTTCCATGTATTACTGATGTTTTGTTATTATAGAATATACGTAGAAAAGCATTGTAAAATCTAGCTAGCTTGTACTAATTGGAATGAAATTCATTATGAAGTAGTGAAAAGTTATTGTTATATTTTTAAAGGAATTTAATGTCTTTAAAAAATTCCTTTTCTGGGACTCTCCTGGTGGTCCAGTGGTGAAGACTCCATGCTCCCAGGTTCAATCCCTGGTCAGGGAACTAGATCCCACATGCCACAACTAAGACTCAGCACAGTCAAATAAATAAGAATAAATGCTAAAAAATTCCTTTTTCCCCCTAAGTCTAATAAAAATAGAATAATAGAAGCCTTTGGCCCACTTTTTTCAACTAATAGGTAAGAACTACTGTATTTAGCATATTCATGTGAAATGGTGTTTCTGAACCCCATAATAGCTTGAATAAATGTAGTCTCAAGTATTTAAATGTTTTCACTGAAAATGTAAGCAAACTATAATAGAACTGCTTTCAAAGATGTGAAACTGAATGTGATTTTATAGCAAATAATCCTCCCTTCTTCTGACTTGGGTTTTGTTTTTACTATAGGCTTAGATGCCACAGGACCTTTCTTTTCTCGTTATGGGGCTCCTCTGAAGGAGCTTGATTTTAGCATCATGACTTTTCTCTGGAATGAGAAATATGGTCACAAGCTAGGCTCTATAGAAGGAAAGCAACTCGATTATTTCTATGAGCCTACGTCACTGAAGGAAGCGCGTTGTTTAATATGGCTGCTGGAAGAACACAGAGACAAGTTCCCAGCACTGCATAATGCCTTGGACGAATTCTTTGATATAATGGGTATGTGGACAGTTTTGATTTGTATCTAAGGAAAAAGTCTTCAAAGGATCTAGCTTACTTAGATACTTAACAAAGAACATAGTGAAAATCATTATGCTACAGCTGGCTTATTTGGAGAAGTTAGTATTAAGAACAGTGTTGGTTTTTTTTTTTAATATACTAAAGCCTTTTTACTTTGTGGATCTCAGTGTTGTCAAGACACTCAGATGGATACATTACATGGACTATTCTCATTGTAGGTGTTTTGACAGTGTCATGGCAAAGATTATATATTAAAGGGGTGGACTTTCTTAGGAAATGGTTTGATTTGTAGCATTCAAGGAAACATTGGCCTGCAGAAGGAGGCAATATTTGCAGAATCTAGAACAGATAGCATATCTGCTGTGGTGGGAAGAACCTAGAGCTGGGAGTAAGAAAACGAGGCTGTGGCCCAGCTACACCCCTAACTAAGTTCGTTAGAAATCTTCTTTTACTGCTGCTTCAACACCTTGTGCTAGGTGTGTTAACAAGGAATTCAGAAATGCTTATGCTAGTCCTTGCCCTCAGGACCTTATGTTTAGAAAAGGGAGTAAAATGAATATACAAGTAACTGTAATATGGGAGAAGAGAGGGCCAGGAAAAGTGCTGAGGGGTTCCCCTCCTCGGGAAGAGGAAATTTTTGGTGCAGGGGCAGAGTCCACGCCTGGCTGTGAATATGGAGGTGGATCTGACAGTTGACATCCAGAGTTAGACATGTTGTACAATTCTGAATTTAAATTTCTTATCTTTGGTACTACATATGTCTATCTGTTAGGATACTGTCTCTCCCTGCCCTCCTCGTTTTCCCTTCTCATCATACGTCTGCTTTAGGTATTGTCAGGAGTTAGGCTTTCAGATTTCATGCTATTTGTTTTAAAGAGTACATGAGAAGGTTTTGGCCTTGTACTAAAGAGTTACGCATTATGAAATTCAAATACAGTATAAGGGACTGAAAAGCTTACTTGTGTTGTGGTTCTTAGGGGAGAGCACACTCAGATAGAGGTGGCTTTATTTTCCAGGGACACTGCTTCATGACTGGGGATGACATGCTTCTTGATAGCCTGGATTGATTGCTCTCAGCTTGCTGCTGCTGGGAATAAAATGCTGTTTTGGGACTGAGCTTGCAAAACTTGATGCATGTTTGGATTGCACGGGACATTTCAAAAGGACACAATTCCCTTTCATTGTGCATTTTCCCTGGTTCTTGTGTCCTGTGCCTAAAATACCCAATCTATCCAGTTGTGACAGTTTCTCTGCTCTCAGTCATAGGGTTGCAAGCCACCAACCAAATGACCAGCCAACAGATTTTCAAATCCACCACTTCTGCCTCTCACACTTACCCCAGCATTTTCAATTTTATCTCCTTTCATTTAAAGGAACAATTATATTGGTTAAAAACTTTTCAAAATCCACTTATCTTATAAATTAAGAGTGGTCAATAACATCACCAGTGCTGTGATAATTGGGAGACCCAAACTCTTCTTAGATCCCGTGTGCATGTCTCCCTGTTGGAATGGCTTAAGCCACATGAGATTTATCTCAAGATGATAGTGCTTTACATATTGTTTTCAAGCAGGAAACACTAAAATTGGTCTCGACCCTTCCTCTTGCCTTTTACCCTTTATCTAGTTTGTTTCCAAGTCAAGTAAGCTATATTCTTGATTTGCCCTTCCCTGTCCATCTCTACTTCCCTAGGCCAGGATCTTAATAACCTTTCCATGATCTCAGTAGTCTCCAACTGGTCTCCATGCCTCTGACCCTCCCACTCCAAACCTTTCTCTCACGCTGCTCCTGCTGACTCTTCTAGAACACCTGTCTGATCCGCTTTAAGTATTTTGTGGGAAGCACTTGCTTCCTTTTGCCTGCAGGTCGAGGTCACGGTGTCTGTCTGGGCTCAGCAGTGTGCTCCCATCTCCCCTCTGACTGTGCCCCTCACTTTCTGCTGTGCCCAAATGTGCCTTGTGCTGTCCCTGCTCACACCCCCGCCTCTTGCTGGTTCATCTCAAGTCCTCTGTTCCCCACAGCCCTCCCTGACCCCTCCTTGGGCTGCTCCCCTTGAAGACTTCGTTACTCTGTCAGCTTTGTTTCCACTGCGTTTACTGTGGCCTTTAGCACACTGGGCTGTGGTGTTTGCCTCTCTGTGTAGTTTGCAGAACATGAGCTTTATTGATGGCAGGGACGTTTCTATACATTTCTGTATTCCCAGCACCTAGCGTACGTAGAGTTTGGTGTCTAGAAAAAACTCAAGTTGTACTGGGTTGGATTGAAATTTCGTGATTCTTAGTAGTTGGTTTTCTACTGAGTCAGCCAGTTTGCTCTTGGTTTCTAAACTAAACTTGTGTCAAAGCCAAATAAGGAGTAGGACATAGTGGATGTTAGTAGTATCTGGGGTGGTTTTCTTTAAGGACTTGGTGTGTCGTACGGCAATATAAGCCTTTCGTTTCCTTACAAAACCATGTGTCTTCTCACAGACAGCCGCTGCACTGTATTAAGGAAACAGGACAGTGGTGACGTGCCAGTAAGTTATTTCATCATTTTCAGTGTTTTATTCTAATTTGTGTCAGCCTAAGGAGGAGAGGGAGGACCCGGTGTTTGTTTACATCCCAGGAGGCACTCCAGAACCAAATCTGGAGGACTTCTGGATAACATGACAATTTTCTTAGAAAGGGTAATCCCAGTCTTCCTCTTGGAACAACAGTCAGCACACTCTGCAGCTTAAATTAGACAGTGTCCATAAATGTTCACAACTACTGAATGTTAATCATGGAAATAGGAAAGGAGTTCTTGAGTCATCTGATGGCATAAAAATGAAAAGTTACCTTGTAATGATTAAAATTATGTTTTGTTCTGAAGGAAAACAAATGGACTTTGAGTGGCTTACAGTTGAGCTTAAAAAGTTAAAATAATTCCAGAGTTGTCTTCCTTAATTAGTTTGTGGCAGTTTTTGAACAGAAATACTTGTTTAGTGATTTTTTTAGGATCAAGTTGTCTGTACTTAAAATTTTGTCTTTGTTCAGTCAGATCCTATCTGGCTAACTGGAAGCACAGATGACATAACCCTATTGGAAAGTTAGACGCTGCTTCTAACTTCACTGTTGGTTCCCTGGTGTCTGCCCAAGTGCAGAATGTCTAGTTTGCTTAGTAAAGGAAAGTCATTAAAATATGATAAGCTCATAGCTGCAATTACTTTGTAAGTCTCATTAATTACTTGAAATGACATAAACCTTGTTGAACATGAGTACCAGCATCTTAAGTTGGAACGATTAATTTTAGTTATATAGGATTAGGTGTCATTTAGTATTTTTCTTATTTTCTATTATAAATCAAAACAGTGGGGCTTAACACACTAAAGTGTTAATCGTTGGTAAACATTTTATGTACTTGAACTTAGGACTAGTCTATGAAAATCAGAATGATATCTTTATAATGTATGGTAGCTTCATAATACTATTATTTGAGTGTTCAATAATTTTCTTTTTTTTTTTTTTGCTTTTTAGTTTAATTCTACCAAGGTAAAAAACAAAGGCAAGAAAAAGAAGCCAAAAGATTCAAAGGTATAGAGTATTTTCTGTATTGATTCTTAATTGAGTTTATAAATAAGAATTAACTAGTTCTTAGGATATTTTGAAGAACTTTGTTGAGAAAGACTTTCTAGGCTCTAAAGATGTTTTGCCAGTTTTCTGCATTTTGAGGAAGTTTAAGTTTCATGTCATATGTAAGTAATTCTTAGTAGAGACTCTTTATTATCCTTTCCATTTTCTAGGTATTTTCTAGTGAAATTGTCGTAATGTAGCACTTTGTATGGCTGTTCCTCAGTGTGGCCAAGGCTGCTTTGAGATCAGGCAGATCTGGGTTCTTAACCTTGGTTCTACCAATTATTATTTTTATTATCTCTGTGACCTTGGGCAAATTGACTTCCCTGTGCCCTTGTGTCATTATCTGTATTACAAGACATGATGCATGTTATTATTAATTAATGGAATTATTACCTAAATATTTAAAGTAAAGATGCTGAGAGTTCCCTGGTGGTCCAGTGGTTAAGCCGTCACTTTCCAGTGCCCAGGGTAAGGATTCAATCTCTGGATGGGCAGCTAAGATCCCACATGCCTTGTGGCCAAAAAACACAAGAACATAAACAACAGGAGCCAGTATTATAACAAATTCAATAAAGACTTAAAAAAAAAAAGATAAATACTAACCATCATGACAGAGTCTCAGAATTGATAGACTCCTTCCTTCCGCTCACCTAAAGCTCTGCTTCCAGCCCGTGAGATGACTGGGACATTATTTTTAAGCCTTAAGGTAGGGTCTTAATGGCTATCACACATTTGCAGAATCAAATGAGAGGCAGGGGTTGAAAATTAGGGGTGGATAAGAGTAGCTTATAAGTTCGAATACAACTTCTGTTTTTATCTTTGATTATATGTCTGTCGTTTATCTAAAATGAGAGTTTCCACGGTGATAGTTTAAAAATTTTTGGAGTGTTAGAAACTAACTGTTAGCTTGTGCCTATTTTAGGCTGTTGAAAATTTAATTAATGTTATGTTCCTGTTCACAAGAAAATTTAGATAAGTCATCAGTCAGTACAGTTCAGTCGCTCAGTCGTGTCCGACTCTTTGCGACCCCATGAATCACAGCACGACAGGCCTCCCTGCCCATCACCAACTCCCGGAGTTTACTCATACTCACGTTCGTCGAGTTGGTGATGCCATCCAGCCATCTCATCCCCTGTCATTCCCTTCTCCTCCTGCCCCCGATCCCTCCCAGCATCAGGGTCTTTTCCAATGAATCAACTCTTCGCATGAGGTGGCCAGAGCATTGGAGTTTCAGCTTCAGCATCAGTCCTTCCAAAGAACACCTAGGACTGATTTCCTTTAAGATGGACTGGTTGGATCTCCTTGCAGTCCAAGGGACTCAAGAGTCTTCTCCAACACCACAGTTCAAAAGCATCAATTCTTCGGTGCTTAGCTTTCTTTATAGTCCAACTCTCACATCCATACATGACTACTGGAAAAACCATAGCCTTGACTAGTCAGACCTTTGTTGGCAAAGTAATGTCTCTGCTTTTTAATATGCTATCTAGGTTGGTTGTAAGATAAGTCATATATATTGGCAATTTTTGTGCATAGTTATATAAGCATTCATCAGTTTTAGTGGTAAATGTGGAAAATCATTGTCATTTTTGTTTTTTAAACCAGCCTATGTTAGTTGGATCTGGAACACCTTCAGTCACACCAAACAATGAGACTGTCACTTCAGATGAAGACTATATGTAAGCACAGTCTGAGAGTTTTTGCTTTTATTTTAACTTAAAAGGTATATTAATCTGTTGTCCTTTAAACTTGTCTTTTGTTTCCCTAACTTCTCTGCCTCAAGACGTGCATCTGTTACAACAACCTTATGTGACCCATTGTGGTTGATTTATATAGTGTAGGCTGTTGGTGTTAAGAATTGATATAAACTGTTAAAATCAGAGGGTTGATAACATTCATTTGATAAGGTTGAGAACTTATATGTATAGGATACTGTTGAAAATCCTAGAAAATACTCTTTAAAATGTTCAATGAAGAGGATGTCCTGTTGATAATTACTAGGAAGATATTTTGGAGGCTGTATGTGATATTATGGTTCAGCCTTAAGTAGCAATTTCCAGTGGATGTGGTTGTTGAAACTGAGTTTTCAAGAGACGGGTAGATACAAGAAATAAAACTAGTGAATAGCGAGTAAGTTTTTTATATCATATTCCTTTATGGACCAAAGACCCACAAACGTTCCCCCCCACGTTTCTTAAATGAGTTGTAGTAACAATTGTTTTGCATATTTTTGTGGACTCTTTGAATGGGGGAATTGTTTTAAGTTTAAATAATAAGAGCCTATATTTTGATAGCACTTATGTACCAGGTGCTATTTTAAGAGCTTTCTATGTCTATATAAACTCATCTAATCCATTCTTCTTTCTTGGAGATAAATACTGTTACATGCGTTTTACACAGAAGGAAACACAGGCACAGTGCAGTTGGCTGTGCCCAAGGACACAAAGCTCATACACAGCAGAGCCAGAGTTTAAGCCAGCAATCTGGTTTAAAGCCCACACTCAGCACTGCTCCAGCTTTGCAGAGTGCTAGAATCTTACACTCTTTAAAAAACAAAAAAACTTTAAGTACCTTTCACCAGTCTCAATCTCACTTTAACTTAAATTGATCACCATTGTAATAAAACCTTTCATTTTGCTTTTTAACACGTTATAATTAATACAACATTGGTTTTTTTTCCCTAAACCAGAAGACTTTAAAGAAATTGCTCTTGATAATTATTAATAAAAGAACTTAGTTCTTAGGTATCTCTTGACTAAAGTTGTGGAAAGTTAACTTTTCTGCATTAAATTCTCTGGTAGTATGTTTTTGCATCCAAAAGTTGAATAATACATTATCTTTATTCCAATTTAAATGTTATTCTGGGTCACGTAGAAGTTTATTATTCATGAGAGAATGATTTGTTTTTTTGTTTTATCAGCAAACGCAGTTTAAATTCTGCAGGCCCCTTTGTAGTTCCCGATCACCTTCGGCAGGATGTAGAAGAATTTGAAGCTCTGTATGAACAGCACAGTAATGAGTATATTGTCCGGAATAAGAAGCTGTGGGACATAAACCCAAAACAGAAATGTTCAACTCTGTACGAGTAAGTGTCTTAACGTTCCTAAAACTGTTACGTTGAGGCTGCCAGTAAAAGATCTTAAGTTATTTTAAATTTGTGTCCCTTTCTATTTATTAAAAGAATCTGTGTTTGGCTCACAAACTCTGGGGAAGAAAAGTATTTGTATGGCTTTGGTCATGTATTACACAAAGTTAATCAGAAATTTTTAACTATTAAAAATTTTTTTAGAACCCTAGTGTTTATTAGTTGTGTCAGTTTGAGCTGCTAATGTAGATTCTTTGTATTTCCAAAACTGTCCTAGGATAGGAATGATAAATGAAGCTTCCAGCCATAATCTTTTATCATAAATTCCACAGTATATATTTGACAAGGAATGGTATGATTATTTGCTTTCATTGTCTTTCCGTTGATATGATGTTATAGTTTGGTGTCTCCTAAGCCCGGTGACACTTAATGTGGCTTGGTGAAGTATTACCCTTCACTGGGAAGGGATACCAGGATCTGGTGACTACTGCTGAGAGAGCTGTCCAGCTGGGGTGGTAGTACAGATACAGAACCCTGTATCTCTGTATTCTACTGAAAACTTGACCTCCCGACATTCATCTAGGAAAAGAGAAATAGACTTTTCCTTCTGAGAAACTTTGGGCTGAATTACTTTTGGTTTGAAAATGTGAATGTGAAATTAACACCAGGGAACTTCCCTAGTGGTTCAGTAAAGTTAGGACTCTGCAGGGGCACAGTTGTGATCCTTGGTCAGGGACCTAAGATCCCACATGCTGTGTGGCCAAAAAAAAAAAAGAAAGAAATTTTTAAAAAAAGAAGAAGAAAAAAAAAATTAACACTAAAGTCACGTCTGAGGGGGGTGGATAGAGTAATAGAGTTCAGGAAAATCTAAAAAGCATTTGCCTTTTTTTTTCTTTTTTTTAAAAGCTTGGGATTAATAAGTAGTACATGATGCTTTCTTTAGGGAAAGATGATGAGGGGCCGAGATCTGCAATAGAAAATTAATTTGTAAGCGAATTCCTGGAAAATCCATCACTCATCTGTAATTTGGTTATTTTTTCTATTTTTCTCAGTTGCATTATTCCTCTTCAATTTAGTTATATGCTCTTGGATCCCTCTTCATAGTTTTTCTTCAGAGTTGAAGTGCTGAACAAATCATATTCCCAGAGAACTGGATGACAGCCTGGAATCAGCTATAAAACTATACTGTTATTGTTGTTCAGTCACTCAGTTGTGTCCGACCTTTTGCGACCCCATGGACTATAGCCTGCCAGGCTCATCTGTCCCTGGGGTTCTCCAGGCAAGAGTACTGGAGTGGGTAGCCATTGCCTTCTCCAGGGGACCATACTAGTATTTCTTAAAGATGCTAGACTTTGCTTCAAGCATCTAAACTGAAGCTAAACTGTAGTTTTCAGGAGTTTGCTTCTTAAGACTACATTACCTTTATAAGTGGGAAGAAATTAAGTAACTTTATGAGAAAAAAAGAGGTTGATTTGTTTGTGTATTTTGAAATGGAGTTTATATCTTATAATAGGAGAAAGTCGGGAAGTTACAGGAAGTCACACCTCAGAACTTAATTCTTTCTTTGAATTTTCAAAAATAAACATTAGTGATGATTGGCTTAAAGATGATATTTTAATTGGCCAATGGGTAAAAGAAAAATGAAACTAAACTTTTGTATCTGAAAAGAATGTAGAATAGAAAGCGTAATATAGATGGAGTTAAGAATATTGTGATAACTGCTTTCTTTCTTGACTTAAATATTTCACTTTAAAGTAGGGAATTGGACTGATTTGTTTTCAGTGACCCCCTTCCTTCTAATGTTTTATAATACAAATAGTTGAAGTATATGGTATTCTGCATTCAGACAGTATATGGTATTATATACTGTTATAGTATATGGTATGATATGTTGCAGATAGTGTATCTACAATGCAGGTAGTATATGGTATTCTGCATTTAGTTTTTCCTAACAGTTCTTTAGTAGTGTTAATTAGTCAAGATTTACTAACCAGTTAAGGTGGAAGGTTTCAAAAAGAAAGTAGAAGATGTGATCCTAGCATGTAGCTTACAGATAGCAGGAGAGTGAAATTGATCATAGGTTGAATCACAGTGTGTTGCAAATAAAAATAACTTTGTGAAATAAGAATCATGTTTTTTCTCCCTGTCAGTTTTTGCTTACCAGAAAGAACATGTGGTTCTTGCTTACTTGTCATGCTCTCTTCCAAGAAAGAGGAAATTGGGTCCTGATCTTTAATCTACTTCTTTAAAAAGAAAGGAATCATGAGCGTGTAGAAAACAGTGGTTTTTCAGAGGGGCACACCTAGAGCACTGGGATGGGGATGCTTTCTGAAATATTTTTCCCATTTCTACCCCTTGGCCCCGTGCTGACAGTGACATGCACGGGCACTATGGCAGTCCATCAAGGATCGTTTAAGACACTAATGGTCATCATTCAATTATGAAAATATGTATACCCATATTTGCAATCATATATCTGATAAGGAGCTAATACCCAAAATGTATGAAGAACTGAGGCAACTCAGTAGCAAAAAAAAAAAAACAGTTCAGTTTAGAAGTGGGCAGAAGATTCAAATAAACATTTTCCCAAAGAAAGACATATAGATGGCCAGCAGATACATGAAAACATATTACAGAGACTTCCCTGGCAGTCCAGTGATTCTCTGCACTTCTATTGCAGGAGGCGTGGGTTTGATCCCTGGTCAGGGAGCTAGATCCACATGCTACAAATAAAGATCTCACTTGCCACAACTAAGACGGGGGGTAGCCAAATAAATAAATATTTTTTTTTTAATCCAAAAGCAAGTATTAAAAATATATATGTATGTATTTTGAATGATTATTTAATCACAGCTTATAAAAAATAACTTTTTAGTCTTTTTTTTTCTCTACAAAAAATATCTTTTAAAGGATTATTTTCTGAGGAGTAAACTTAACTTTTGTTTGTAGTATCATTGATTACAGTTAGCCTTTCTCAGATTTAATATGAGTATAATATGTTTGTTGAGGAGGTGTTCAGGTCAGTTAGAAATAGTATTTTGCTTTGGGGAAATTTTTGAGAAATATTTTTTCCAGAAAACCATGTGTAAGTGCTTCCTTATAATAACATATGTACATTTTTTTGCCTAGCTATTTCTCTCAGTTGTTGGAGGAACATGGTCCCTTGGACATGAATAACAAGATGTTTTCTGAAGAATATGAGTTCTTCCCAGAAGAAACACGACAGATACTAGAAAAAGCAGGAGGTTTGAAAGCGTTTCTCCTGGGGTGTCCTCGTTTTGTTGTGATTGACAACTGTATTGCGTTGAAGAAAGTCGCGTTACGGCTCAAGAAAAAGAGAAAGAAGAAAAACATTAAGACAAAAGTAGAAGAAATTTCAAAAACAGGAGAGTGTTTACGAGTTAAACTACCACTGAATCCAACTGCTAGGGAATTTAAACCAGATGTAATATCTAAACCAGTGTCTGAGGTACCTTCAGCACCAGCTTCCGAGGATGTGAGGCCTCAGCCTGCATCTGCCAATTCTCCCCAATCAGCTCGTGACACTGGGAAGCCAAAACCAGTTTCCGACAATTCTTCCAGATCAGTTTCTGAGGATGAGAAGCCCAAAGGGGTGTCTTCTGATTCTCCCAGGCCAGTTTCTGAGGAGACTGGTCACAAGCCAGTCTCCTCTAATTCTCCCAAACCAGTTCCCGAGGAAGTGAAAGCGACCTATTGGCCTCGACCCCAGCTGGTCACAGGATACTGTACATACCTTCCCTTTCGGGGGTTTGACATCACCCAGACACCACCAGCCTTCATCAGCGTGTTACCGACTTTGCCCCAGTATAGCATTTACACCCCTCTGGCCAGCGTTCCTGCTGAGTATCACCTGCAGAGACCAATACCTGTGGTGCCATCTTTTGTAGCAAGTGACATAACGGAGCTGCACTTTGAGTCTCATCATTTCAGTGCTGAGAATGCCCCTGGTAGCCAGATTGCCTCCGAAACACAGATCCTTGAGGAATCTTTGGAAACACCGGTGAAGTCAGAGTACAGCTCGAATAGTGCTGATATAGCCCAGAGTGAGGCTAGCAGAAACGATGACCGCTGTGGAGATTCTGCCACGTGGGAAGTAAATCCGGAAAGCACCGATGAAGTAACACATATTCCATGTACACAAGTGGTTGCTGTACAGGTAAGACCAAAGTGAGAAAGTCTTCTTAATATCAAAGTTAAATTTTCCTCTTCATTTTTCATTGCCATTATATTTACTAAAATCCTGTAAAATAATGGACTTTATGAACCCTTTTTTAGGGCATGACAGGTAATGCCAGAAGGAATTTTGGAGTGTAGTAAGACCCTCCTTCCTATCCAAGTTTTGCACCAGTTGGGACATAAAGCAGTAGAATCAGCAGATGGAGCCAAAGCACCGCCTTGATAATTAATAAAAGTGCAGTAGGATGATGTGGTTCTTTTCTCTAGAGAGTGTCTGTCCCAAGACTGAAGCCCATGACTTAGCAGCTTCCCCTGTCATTCACAGCGGTGCTGGACTAGAAGGCCTTCCAACTTGGGTGCTTGCCCCCAAGACAGTGCAAGGAAGAGGAACGGGAAAAATGTGCTCTCTGCACGGGCAGCTCCCAAGAGAAAGAGAAAAAAGAGAAAGTCAGGGCTGCACATGCCCAGTTTCTCCTGTCAAACCAGCGGGGGAGTGAGGGAGATACAGAGCACAACCAGATGGAGAGAAACAAGGGATATGAATAAATGTTCCTTCCTAATAGTCTCAAGAATAAGGTTTCTCTGTAGTTAACCTTAAGAAGGCATGAATGCATGAAGCCCTTATTGGTTATCCCCCTACCCATTAAGTTTTTTAAAAGCTTTCTAGAAGGCTTTGAAAAATTACGTTGAGTAATGAACCAAAATCATTTTCACTTTTACCAATTCCAAACGATACTCTTTCCTGTTACAAACATTTGTAGAAAGCATAGAATGTTATCTAAACTGACAAAAAAATAAAAACCTTGAAAAAATTATGGACATGTTTCAAAATGTTATCAAATGATGGATTTATTTTACTAGAGCGTTTGAGACAGATTGAATGTGCTTGTTTTGCCCCGAAGGTGTCTTGGAATAGGACACATCAAGAAGTCAATACTGAACCATATGGTCCTTTTGAGTCACAACAGGTGAGTCAGAGCTGTACTAAAGTGTGAGAAGGTTTAATTTTCATTACTTTAACTAAATGGGAATGATGAACCTAGAACTATTTTGAAACGAGTTATTCCTTATAAAACATCATAGAATAAGCCTTGCTGTTGAGTCACCAAGTCGTGTCTGCTCTCGTGTAACTCCATGGCTCCTCTCTCCACGGGATTTCTCAGGCAAGCATACTGGAGTGCCATTTCCTACTCTAGGGGATCTTCCCGACTCAGGGATTGAACATGCGTCTCCTGCATTGGCAGGCAGATTCTTACTGCTGAGCCACCAGGGAAGTAGAAAAAGCTTTAGAACATAACAAAAAAATTGTTTTATTGTTCACATTTGGAAAGGAGAGGCAGAGGAAAAGCTTTTTTCTATCTTAACAGCTTTATTGTTTTAACTGGTATAATGAGCCTGTATTTATAAATAAAAGCTTATTCACGTGAATAATACAAAAATTATTATAAAAATCTTAACCACGTGAAGGATGATTCAATTAGAAAATTTATTAATATAAGTAAGAGAATTCAGAAACATAAATCGATAAAATACCTTTCTGTATGTAAACAACCCATTGCAAAACATAGTAATGGAAAAGATTTCATTCTCAATAGTAACAAATAAATTATCTTGGAAAGAAAACTTTAAAATGCTACTGAGAGACACACAGAATACTTAAGTAAATGAGAAATGTTCAGTGTACTTGAATAGGAAGACCTAGTATTAAAGGGATTGGCTTTCTAAAGATTTTAATTTTACAGAGTCTCAAAACAGACATGAATAGAATGCATGTTATCTGTTGCTACATAACACTAACAATGTCTCTGTCAGCAGTTTAGGGCATATGAATTCGTTCATAATACCAAGCTGCAGTGTGACTCTTTTGCTGAATTGAGAATGAAAATAGAAATAACTAAGATCTGAAACCGTAAAGGCTGACTCATGGGTAATGAGTTCACCATCTAGCTGATTATTTAAACATGGACTGTATTCATAGGGCCGAACTTTCAGTCTGGACGACGAAAACAGCAGATGGTGTGTTTGGTCAGCTTGGCCATAGCTCACAGTTCTCGGACAGTGAACAGAATTTCAGAACCTTACTTCCCTGCCTTTGTACACTTGGGAAACGCTAATGTGCTGTAAGAGGTGCAGGGGGTGGGAAAGGTGGGCCAGGTCTATGCACCTGGCTTAGAGTCCCAAGCCTGGCTGCCAGAGCCCTGGTAACCGGGCAGGGCAGTTGCCTGCAGCTGAGAGGAGCTGCCAGCGTCTGACAGGTGCTCCATTCACAACAGCTGTGTGACTGCTGCCCGTCTCAGCAGGATGAAAGGCTTACAAATACATAAATGCTGCTTGTTGCTTGCCAGCATTTCACAGTACAGTATGACTTCTGTTTGCTTTTTTTAAAGCTGTCCAGGAGACAGTTACATAACTGAAAATAATTTCTTGATAATAATTTAAGTCGTCTTTTAAAAATAATCCGCAACCGTCTATTTGAAACGCTGTAAAAGTAGGGCCAAAACTAATATGTCCTATTCATATCTAATGCATGCATAATATTTGTGGTTCTTAGGGCCAGTAGATAGTTCTTGATGTTAATTGTGGAGGATGACAGTCATATCAGACTATTTAATACTGAACCCTTCTAAAACAAATATTCAGAGCTAATTATGGCGCCTATTGGAAAGTTTCCTTATGAATTCCAGTAATATGAATAGCTTTTTTAAAAAAGAGCTGACTTTGCTAAACAATGTAAGGGGTTTTAGATTCTTGAATTATTGTGACATTTTCCTTGTAAATTTTCATCTGCCTTGTATCCTCTTGTTTATCTGAAGAGACATTTCAGAACAAGATCAGAAATAGACTTTTAAAACTACTTTTGATAGGTAATTTTGTATCATATTTGTAGGGGGGTATTTCACAGATTGAAAAGGAGTACCAGGTTTTACAAGAGCAACTTAAGGGAGCATGTGAAAATTATGAACAGAACAATGTCAAGGGCTCAGAAGAAACCAAGGACTTGGAAGAAAAGTTGAAAAGGAACATCGAAGAAAATAAGGTAATCCTGTCTGAAACCTCTTTTTAATAGCACATGGTATCATTCAGAGAATTGTGCTTGTGTAGCCTCAGTTAGCTGAGCTACTGCATTGTTGGCTAAACAAAGAATTCTTTCTCACTGTTGCCTGTTTCACATTTTTTTATGACGTTAAAGTGACAGTGTTTTTATTTGCAGTGTTTTACAACCTCTACAAGTTGTCATGTAAGAAAAGGGCTGTGATTCTGAATTTTCATTTATCTATTACTTAGTTTCCTTGATTAAAACTATTTCCTGGTAAGTTCCAAGTTAAATTCTTTATAGTGAGAGTAGTCATGTAGCACTAGAGGTTCCACATGTGAGGCCTGGAGACAGACTGACTGGGCTCAGATCCAGGCTTAGTTCTACACTAGTTCTGTTCCTGGGCAGACTGGTGTGTGTGGTGTTTGTTAACATCTCTGCCTTGGTTCTGTAGTTTGGGTAATAATTGCTCCCATTTTATAGGGTTAGAGTCTTACTCTCTTTTAATGTTCAGACTTGTTTTATTTACTTTTGGCCGCACTCGGTCTTCTTGCCGCACGTGGGCTCGCTCTGGGTGTGGGGAGCACGGCCCTCTGTGCTGTGGTATGCCGGCTTCTCGCCGTGTGGCCTCGCTGCGGCTCACTGGCTCTAGGCGCAGGCGTTGTGGTGCACCAGCTTAGTCGCTCTGTGGCATGTGGAATCGTCCTGGACCAGAAACTGAACCCACGTCCCCTGCATTAGCAGGTGGATTCTCATCCACTGTACTGCCAGGGAAGTCCTCACTGTGGTTTTGATTTGCATTTCTCTCATGAAGAATAATATTGAGCATCTTTTTATATGCCTGTTGGCCATCCTAATGTTTTCTTTGGAAAAATGTCTATTCAGATCTGCCTGTTGTTTAATTAGGTTGTAAAAACAGAAGTCTTTGTACGGAGGTAGAAAGGGTCTGTTAGTCCGTTTAAGAAAGGAAGAATTTGTGCTAGAAGTCTGAGTCATTAGCTGAGGCCACATATTAAATAGAAGAAAATGAGCTGTGGGACCTTAATCAATAAACATTTGTCAAGTATACCCAGAAGAAAAGGGTTGGTTTCTAGAGGTGACCGTTATAACACTCCTTAGTCCATGTTTTCACTTGGGATGAGACTGGGGAGATTTGAAAAATTAGAAGGAACCAATCTTTCTGCTCAGTTGCCCAGTTGAATGAAATCTTCCTGATTAAGAAGAGGGGAAAATGAACAAAAATAAAACCTTTCACAGAGACTCATAGAATGCTAATTTGGATAAGCTACTTGGGGGGCTTAACAAAACAAAACATTTTTGTAAACTTCATATTGTGTCAGGAAAATTCAGTTTTAATAAACCTGTATGAGAATGCCTGTGTCCACCCAATTAAGTGATGCAGACAGATGCATACACAACCACTCAATTTGAGATGGTCACCTGGTGAGTGAGGGCTTCCCTGATAGCTCACTTGGTAAAGAATCTGCCTGCAATGCAGGAGACCCTGGGTCGGGAAGATCTGCTAGAGAAGGGATAGGCTACCCACTCCACTATTCTTGGACTTCCCTTGTGGCTCAACTGGTAAAGCATCCGCCTGCCAGGGCAGGGAGTCCTGAGCTCAATCCCTGTGTTGGGAAGATCCCCTGGAGAAGGGAAAGGCTACCCACTCCAGTATTTTGGCCTGGAGAATTCCATGGATTATAGAGTCCATGGGATTGCAAAGAGATGGACACGGCTGAGTGACTTTCACTTTCACATTTCACTTTCTGGTGAGTGAGGTTCCTTTCTTCCTGGTAGAGGCTTGTCCAGCTTTATAAGCTCCTGGTTTGACTGGGTCCTGTGTGCAGTTCATCAAGACTTCTTTGTAAAGGGGACCAAGAGATGTGCAGTAAATGAGCACCCAGGGAGGAGGGCTGTGAGAGAGCAGCATCTTTTTTGCTTTATTAGGTAAAGCTTTGACCAGTGGGCTTGGGCTCTTAACCTGCTTCTTAACTGTGCTGAGACTCTGGACCTAGTTCCATGGGCTTGTGCTTAAGAGCAGTCAGTCCATTTTTTTAAAAGGGCCATTAATTTTGTCCCTCAAATTGCAGACCTGTTAGGTTATTGGGAGGTTCCATGCAAAATGTGTACCTGTTTGCTTTTAGGATAAATTGTTCACCTGAGTTCCTTAGGTATATATTATACAACCTAAGGAACAGGGAGGCCTGGTGTGCTGCAGTCCACGGGGTCGCAAAGAGTCAGATACGACTAAGCAACTGAACTGAACTGAACTTAGAACTGATAGGTCATAACTGGTTGCCGTATTGCTCAGGGGCATATGTTCTCTCTCTCTTAAAAATTCTTTATTTATTTATTTATTTTTATTATACTGGGTCTTTGTTGCTGCACGGGCTTTCTTTAGTTGCAGCGAGCGGGGGCTGCTTTCTAGTTGTGGTACGTGGGCTTCTCATCATAGTGGCTTCCCTTGTTGCGGAGCGAGGGCTCCAGTAGTTGTGGTTCCTGAGCTCCAGAGCACAGGCTCATTATTTGTGGCACACAGACGTAGTTGCCTCGAGGTATGTCAGGTCTTCCTGGACCAGGGGTCAAACCAGTGTCCCCTGTATTGCAAGGTGATTCTTAACCACTGGACCACCAGAGAAGCCATCTTTTTTGTTTTATTAAGGTAAAGTTCACATTTAACCTTTATATAAAGTATATAGTTCAGTTGTTTTCAATATATTCACCATGTCATATAATCACCACCACCATCTAATGCCAGAGTTGTTTTCATCACTCCAAAAAGAAGCTGTATTCCCATTAGACAGTCACTCCCCATCTTTTGAAGGTCATATGTTCTTAAGGTGCTTTAATGAGATTTGCTTATAGTTAAGATGGGTATTTAGTTAGCATTGACTCTTAAAACAGTCAAAATAATTTTGGCCTAGACGAATTGATGGAGTAGAATCTGAAACTTTGTGCTGTTTGAACAGAATCTTGGGTTCCTGCCTACCAAAACTTCCTCAGCCCACATCTGCAGAGAGGTGTGGTCCTGTTCAGTCACGGTCCTTGCCAAGTTCAGCTTTTTCCTAATCTAACATTTACGGAGCTCGGGTTATGTGCCGCACTCAGTCATAAAGGTTTTAGCTATATTATTTTATTAAATCTGAAAGCACTTTAGTGCACTAGTGTTCCGGTATGTAGCATTGTCTCCATTTTGCTGATGAGGAAATGGAGGCTGTCCTCACTAAGGTGTCTTGCTCCAAGTTGCACCAGCAGTAAGCAGAACAGGTGGTGAATGTCAGGCTCCAGATCGATTAAGAGAAGGTCTGTTCCACAACCAGTTGAGAAACATTTCCCAGCACTTCGTGAGCAGTGTATCAGTTAACTGATGCCATAGTAATGCTAAGTAAAAACCTCAGTGACACATAACAATAAATATCACGTGTGCGAGTCTGCGGGTTAGCCAGTCCTGATTGAGCTTGGCTGGACGGCCTCACCTTCGGATCAGCTAGGGCTCCGCTGTCCTTGGCTGTGCTTGCTCATGTATTGGGGCCCTCTGGCCATAGACTGATCTACAGTGGCCTCAGCAAGGGCAGCTCCATCTGTCCCGTGTGTCTCATCTTCCCGTGCGAGTCCAAGGGCAAGCAAGAGCCAGCCCTGCTGATAGCCCCCCAGACAAAGCAAGTCCCATAGCCAGCCGAGGTTCAAAGGGCGGGGAAAGGCTTGCCTCCTGAGTGGAGGGAACTCCAGGGTCCCCCGACAGAGGCTGCAGATGTGGGGAGGGTGCAGGATGGGCTGCGTGTGCCATCCCTCTGCCACCGCAGGTCAGTGCCGGTAACGCGTGAACACAGCAGTCACCTCGGGCGTGAAACCCCCCTGTGGTTGGTGCCTGCTCCATCTCCAGCCTTCTCTGCTGGCTCTCTGCATTGTCCTCTACCCTTAAAGGGTAGTGGAGCTTGTGGTGTGGTTTCTTCACTTCTAGACCTCTTCCCAGCACTGGTCCTTCTGCCTCAAGGGCCTTCTCCATCCCTGTGCCTGGCTCACCCCTCATCCTTTGGGCCCAACTCAGGCATCACTTTGTGGAGGAAGCAGTCACTGACAGAACCTCAGCCTCGGTTAGAGGCCTTTGTTAATGCAGTAGTGATAATGACCACCTCACTGTATTAGACGGTAACTGTCATTTTGTTCACATCATTATTGAGATGCAGTTCGCATGCCATAAACTGCACCTCTTTAACTGTGTAGTCGGTGTGTCCAGTACAGGCAGAGTTGTGTAGCCATCTCTGTAACCCACGTTTAGAACGTTTTTATCTCCCCTAAAGAAGTCTGATCACTGCCAGTCACTCCCTGTCCTCCCTCCCTCAGCCCTTGGCAGCCACTAATTTACTCTGTGGATTTGCCTATTCTGGGTATTTTATATAAATGGCATATTACACATGGTCTTTTGTGAGCGCCTTCTTTCACTTAGCTTAACGTTTTCAAGGTCTACCCATGTTCAATGGTCCATGTAACGTGGATCAGTGCTTCGTTTTTACTGCTGAATAATATTCCATCATATGCTGTATCACATTTTATTAACCCATTCATCTGTAAATGAACATTTGAATTCTTTTCATTTTTTGACTGTTAGAAATAACATGAATATCTTGAGTACAAGTTTTTGTGTGGACACATGTTTTCATTTCTTTTGGATGTATACCTAGGAGTGGAAATGCTAGGTAATCTGTTAACTCCATATTTAAGAGTTTGAGAAACTACCAGACTATTCTAAAACAGCTGCACCATTTTATATTCCCACCAGGTATGTGAGGGATCCAATCTTTCTGTGTTCTCATTAACACTTTCTGTCATCCATCTTTTTTATTTTAGCTCTTCTAATGGGTGTAAAGTGGTTTCTTATTGTAGTTTTGATTTGTGTTTCCCCAAAGGCTAATGGTGTTGAGCATCTTATATGTGTTTTATGTCTATTTTTATATATTTGGAAAGTGCGAGAAATGTGTTTTAATCCTTTGCCCACTTATTAATTGGATTTTTTGTTTTTTATATTGAATTAAGAGTCTACACACACACACACTTATGTATATATGTATTCTAGGTACAAATTTCTTATATATGATTTAGAAATATTTTCTCTCGTCTTCCCATATTTGCAGATTTATTTCTCCTGTGCCCCATTCTGTGCACTGTCTTTTCTCTTTCTTGATGTCATCATTTGCAACACACAAGTTCTAAGTTTTCAGTGTAGTTGAGTTTCTCTCATTTTTCTTTTGTTTCTTATGCTTCTGATGTCATAGCTGAGAAACCACTGTCAAACCCAGGGTCAGCAATATTTGCCCCTATGCGCTATAGAGCTTCACAGCTTTAGCTCCTCCACGTAGGCCTGTGATCCACTTGGAGTTAACTTTTTCTGTATGGTATAGTAATTATCTTCTGTGCATATTTCCCCCACTGACCTGTGATTCCCCCTGAGATTGAGGACTGCTTCTTGGCCATCCTTGGATCTGAGTGTGCAGCCTAGGAGCTCTGCCAGTGCTCCCCAACAGTGTGTACTTGGGCCCCTAAAGAACTGGGTTTAGTGAATTGTGTCTGCATATTTCAGCAGCCTACGGAAAGGTCGTCAGGCCTGTATGTTCTGTGATGACTGTTGCTTACTTACTGCTAGCATGTAGTGGAGGGTAGCACTCATTCTTTCATTTGACAGATGTTTATATTGGATGCTCCTTAAGTGCCAGGCTCTGTGCTGATCTTCCAGGACTTTTTATGTCGCACCCTCTTCATGAGGCCAGGTAGACATGGTGGTCACCTCCGTCACAGTAGTGACTCAGCAGATTCAAGATCAGCAAGGTTGCAGCAAGGAAAGTGTGAGTTGAACTGTCCCCAGGCTGGAGGAAATGTCACCGAACTGTTGGACCTCTTCTGCCTAAGGACAGTTGGCCTGTACATCTCAAGGCCGCTGAAGTCCAGCTTACTCCTGAGGCAGGACTTGAAATTCATGAAGGACCTGGGCTGGTCAGAGGTACATTTGCGATGTTGAATCTACCTGCCAGGAACATCCAAAACCCTTGTGTCTAAAGCTGATGAGGGTGGAATGTTCTAAGTTGGTTCCCGTTTTGACTAGAAGCTGTTGTTTCCCAGGGAATCTGTGTAGCTTGGCTCCAGGGTACCCTGTCCTCTCTGAAGGAGGAGACCCTGAGTTTCTGTAGCTGAACCCTTGTCCTCAGTGACCTGGCCACATTCTAAGCCTAAGCAGGAAGGTTAGATTATAGGGAACCTGGTCAGAGGTGGGACGTGAAAGGCTCCCTAAAGCAAAAATGAAATTGAGATACCATTAAGCAGTCGTTGATACTGGTAGAATTTCAAACTAGAAAATATTAAAGTTTAAACTTCTTCTTTGTTTCTTGTAAATATTGTTCCATTATGATTTGCACAGTAATTGTTAGAAATAGTAGTCCAGAGTATATTTTATTTGTAAATGACTGGCATTTACAGGCATGTGCACAACCTGTCTGCTAACATTGAAGAGATGACCCTTCGAAAAACTGGCATAAAACTTTTAGAGAATTCGTAGGTTCAGAAGGAGTTTCAAAAGGCAGCCCTTACTTAAGGTAGCTGACAGAGAAGGCTGTGTCTCAGGTGATGGTGTATCGGGCCACCCAGAGCCTCAAGATACAGTGTTTCATTTCTCTTTGTCACATGGCCTGAAATTCTAACAAGTATCTCAGCCCCATGGCCTTTATCACCAAGCAGAGATAACACATTTATATTTTAAAAAGCAAACAAGTATTGGACTTGCCAAATAAAACATGCATGCCGACCCCGTGTAGATTAGAGAATCACTTAAGCTAAAGAGTGAAGTGTGACTACTTCCAGGCGAATGGAAGTGGGTCTTTGTAGCACTGTGCTGCCATCAGGCGCGCTCGGGGTGAGAGATTGAAAAGGAAGGAGAGGAGAGATGTGGAAGTGTGCCTGGGTGCCTGGCAGGCCCTCGACTGGGGGGTGTTTAAGTCAGGAGTCCACACTCGAGGGTGCTGAGGAAGGAAGGGCCCCCGGTGGGTGGAACCGAGTGGCAGAAGGAAGGTGGGAGGCTGTGAAGGTGGACAGGAATCTCCCCAAACCTGTCTCAGAGGGTGGCCTTCGCTTCCTCTTTGCCTCTCCAGCATCGTGTGCTCTGCCTCAGCACCCCGGTGGAGATTTATTTCTTCCTCAGTTTAATAGACTCATGGTCTGGGAATGTGCCCTCTTTAACACTGTAGACCTCATTTTGTTCAGCTTACAAATGGAACTGAGAGCTTCTTGGAAGAGAAATGTTGGCTGTTTAACTGATGTTTCTAATGTAACTTTCTATGGGGAAAGTGCATTCCAAGTTACAGCCAATGAACTGGTGAATGGACTTGGAAATTGTAGTATGTTAATAGGTGGGAGTTTCCCATGTTGGGAAAGGTTGTTTGGAGAGCAAAACACACCTGACTTTGGTGTACTAACCTGTGCTAGAGGAGCCTGTTGGCAGATGTGTAAATCAAGAAGAGTTAGAAATACGTTACTCCTTTCTCTGTGGTTGTGTTGAAAGGTGGTTATTTGTTATTTCAATTTAGTATTTTATTCCTTGAATGTATAGTCTTTGTCAGACACCTATAAACTTCTCTGTCCCATCAAAATGATTGCAGGTTCAGAACTACTGAGTTATTAATATATATTTTATTGTTTACTCAAATTTATTTAAAAATACACATCTAGGTTGATTTCTCTCCTGTATATCTTCCATAGTCTCCTGTTTTGTTAATAGAATTTTATTTAGTTATTCATCCAGGGTAGAGATTCTGTCACCTTCCACTTTACATCACATACCCACATGGGCACACGGTCTTCTTATCCATCCTAGTCTTCTAAAGTGTCCTTTATTTCTTTTATCATCCCTTTAGTTACCTCTGTCATCCTCATTGTCTCTCACCTGGGCTACTGCAGTGAGATTTTATCTTCTAATATAGAGTATTTGAATATTAAAGGTTATAATTCCTAATGGGCTGTGAAGTCAGTTTAATGATGCTGACTAAAATTGTTATTAATAATAGAATAGAAATATAGGAAAACATCTCAAAAAGTAAGGGCAGTGTTTTTAGCTCTCTGTGTGTGTAGATGCATACAGGTATGTATATAATGCTGGGGATCATGATTAAAATGTGTCTGCTGTTGTGGGTCACAGTAAGAAAGTATCAGAGAAAGTCAAGAAAATGAGAAAGCTGCTGTTCTGGTCTAACCTTCATGTACCCTCTTACCCCTGATCTACCTCTAGGTCTTTCAGTTATTTTTCTGAAATAAGAATCTCATCATCTCTCAACCCTGCTGAAGGCTTCCTGTTGTCTGCAGGAAGAGGTCCACAGTCCTCAGCGTTGCTCACAAGGCCCGTGATCATTTTACCCCAAGGTGCCCCAGGGGCCTGAGGTCCTAACATCCACCTTGTACTATTCCATACAGATATGCCTTTCTCTTCTAACGTTCTGCCTCTCCATGCCCACTACTTGGAATTCATTATCCATGTGACAGCCCCATCTCTGAAGACAGAGATCAAATGGCACTAGCTTGGAGAGTCCCTTCCCGAGTACCAGAGCATCTGCTGTGTCTCTGCCCACCCTCGTGGAGGGCTGAGGCTGTGTGTTGTGTGACTCGATGTCCCAGGCTTGGCAGGGGTAGCGCATGCAGCCAGCTCCTAAGTGTGTGGTCACTGGTTAAGCTAGTTCACCACCGCAACACTAGTCTCTCAGGCTCTTTAAAAAGAAAAAAAGGAAATCTTCCCATTTATTTAGATACTTTCTAAAATGTTTTTAGATCTCAAAGACAGAGCTAGATTGGTTCCTTGAAGATTTGAACAAGGAAATTAAAAAATGGGAACAGGAGAAAAAAGAAATCCAAGAAAGACTAAAGACACTGAAGAAGAAAATGAAAAAGGTGTTAAATGCCAGAGAAATGTAAGTAACACTTAAAAGACAATGATTTTCATTTATTTTTAATTTGGGTATATTTTGGCTTATTTTATCCTTTTTGGTATTCTGTTTCAGACTATCAAATAAACTGAAAATTTTAGACACTTCTCATTTCATTCTGAAGAACATCTGTTGAGAATTATCTCACCTACAGCTTTTTCTAAACCTCTCATATTTATACATAAATAAAAGTAGGACTTCAAGAACTTACTTCCGGTCTGAACACCACCTCTTTCTCTGAACATTATCTTTGACCCCTTTTCTTTGCTGTAAAATGAGGGGAGTTGTCTAGATCTACAGTTCTTTCCAGCACCAAGATTCTGTGGTGATCATTTTATTTATTACTTCCACCCTGAATCTTTACATTAGTAAAATTTGGTCCTATAATACAAAGGATTCAGTAATATTAATACATTCAGGCAGTTGTCAGATGGGCTAGGTTTGTTTTAAGATTCTCTGCGATCTATTGCTAACCCCTGTTTCCCTAAATAATCGTATGACTCCTCAGCTTAATTGCTAACTACTGTTGAACAGAATACCTGAAGCTTGTTGGCTTAAATTAACTTAATTTTTACTTGATCCGGATCTTGCATTCTGGGCTGTCTTGGCTGGGCCACCCTTCTGCTGGTCTTTTCAGTGGTTCCCCCTGTGGCTGCGTTTAGCTGGGAGTTGGCTGAAACATTTTGGCCTCTTCCTCTCTCTGCAGTTTCAGGGCTTCTTCCTCTCCACGTGACTTCTTCCTGTGATTTTTATCTCCAGCACAGCAGCCATACCTCCTGTGTGGTGGCTAAGAGCTTCCACAAGTGCACAGGTGGAAGCTGCCAGGCCCTCTGAAGCTTTAGGCCTGGAACCTTCAGCATCACTTTCTGCCACATTTTGTTGTTTCGGGCAAGTTGCAGGCCTGGTCCAGATTGAAGGGCATGAGTAAGGGGAGGTGCGGTTCTCTGGGGGCTGCACTGCCCACACTCACTGTTAGGGCATTTATGTTTTGTCCACTTGCTGTGCCCTGTGATCAGATGAATTTCATTATGAGTATTGCTAACCTTACCTTTGGACAGTTTTTAGGTAGTCATGTATAAAGCATGATGAAATGGAAAATACTGCATATGTCATGTAGTTTTGATTTTGCTCAAAGTAGTTTCATTAGAACAACATATTTATGGAAATGTAAAAAGCTTTTTACCTCTTACTGTTTGAGCAAGTACAGTCTTAATTTTTACTCAAAAATTCTGGAGTATTTATGTTTTAATTTTTTCATATGTTGAGTTCAGACATACTATCAAACTAGACAAAGTAAATGAGACTGAAACTGTTGATAAGAAAAATTTTTTCTGTGCTGTCATAAAAATCATTTCTGCTGAGGAATAATCTTTTTATTGTCTTTTCACTTCATTAGTGTATTTCTTTGCCTTTTTCTGTTGCAGTTTAAAGATAGGCTATAGGCTTCTTTATGCTTTTTGCACTTTCCAAAAAAAGCTAAATTTTAATATTTAGATCTTAAAACTTTTTGGGTCTCTTAGAGAACCACAAAGGTGTATGAGGTTATTTCATTGATTTTTCTACACTTTAGATCACAGTTGATATTCATTAAGAAATGAATGGTCACGAGGAGCTCATGGTTGGTGCAGCGATACAAGTCAGAGATAATTGTTGAAGGAAGGCAGAAATTCCATGAAAAGCTACCCAGTATTGAAAACTTAGAGGAACTGTTTTACAAAAGAAGTGAAATGGCATTTAAATTGGTAGTTTGTGGAAACTGGTTTTCAGCCAGTAGAGATGACTAAAAAGTTGTGGAGGAGAGCATGAAAGAGGCAGAACCCTCTTGGTACAGGGCATTACTTATTAAGACTCAAAAATTTACACAGTTTGTTTTGAAGAATTATCCTACTGTGTGCATGCATATGTGTGTGTGTGTGTGTAATTGGACTTTAGGTTCTGTCTTAAAAAATAGAAGGCTGTTCTCATTTTGAGTGAGAACCTGTATTACACTGATGATGACCCAACACCTTATTCCTCTGTCTTATGTTGAACCACCTGGATGGAACTGCTCCTGACAGGAATAAGACAGGGTCTGTGCTGCAGACACATGACGTAGAATGAAGAAAAGGCGATCTGCCCCCCAGGTGTAGAAGTGAAATTTTTCAAAAAGGAGGAGGACCCAAATTCTTTGCCTATTTAGAAGATACTAGAAATGAAACGAGATGTAAAGAAATCAAGAAATGTTTACATGGAGGTAGAATTTACTGTGTGAGATTGTGTTTTTAAAAATCTTTGAAAATTGATTGAAACTTGGCGATTATGCTTTTGCAGGTATACCCAGGAAAACCATGGAAAGGAAAAGGCACTTGAATTACTTCTGGATCAGTCCCTTGAAATCAGGCAAATTAAGCTTAAATTTATTTTTACATCTCTCTATATTCTTAATATCAGAGGCACAGTCTAAATATATTTAGACATCCAAATATATTTCTGCTTATATGTTGCTTTTAAATGTTTCTTTTTAAAATTTTGTTTTATTATTTATATTAATATTTAAATAAATCTATTCTTTAAGTATTTTTATCTTATGATGTTTTCTACCTTTACTTCACATTGTCAGTATAAAAAGTCCTGAATTTAGCATTGTTCGTTACTCTTCCTTTGAATTAACCTGAAACTAAAAATGTATTTTAAAAACTTAACAGTCTCAACTATTATATGGTAGTTCATTGCTCTACAATTAAAGAATTATTAAAGAATGTTTGTTATGAACCTATAAAAAGTTTTCATTTTCATCTTTATTACTGCAAATAATATTTCTACATACTGGAAGCCAGTATGTAAAATTTATTAACATAACCAGATTAAACTTCACCTAACTTCATAAAAATGGGGGACCCATTTCTCAGCATTCCCACCAAATAGCTTACTTTTAATTTCTCATGTTCCTTTGATCATTTGCAGAGAGCACATATGAGTCTTGTATTAAATAGCCAAATGTTGGGCAAGAAGTTTCTCTGGAAGACGTTCTGTTATCTGTTTGTGGTGTGACTTCAGAGCTAATGTGACTTCACCCTTTGTGAGCTCACTGGTTATGTTTTTTTCCAGTAAGTTTTTTTGTTTTCTTTAATATTTGCAGTAATACATTTACAAATGAGAAAATGAAAATAGAAGAGAGTATAAAGAAAGGGAAAGAGCATTATGAAGAGAGTCTTCAAAGGGCTGTGGATGCAGAGGTGAGTCCAGGGTACTCGGTGACTGACGGATACGGCAGGGTGTCATTTGTTTACTCTGCATTTAATTACACGAGGCAGGACAACATTGCTGGGAAGTGTGGAGGCTGAGGGGTGTCCTTTCAATCATAATCCTGCCTCCCTGAGACAACCACTCCCTCCTTGCCTATAACTTTTAAATTTTTTAGCTTTATGCTTATCTTACAATAGAGTGTACACCAGGTTTTGTGACCAGCTTTCCTTATTTAACACAATTCAGTCATTTTCAATGCTCTGTACTTTCAATGGCTTCATCATATTTAATCAAGTGATGTACCATGAAGCAGTCAACCATAAAACCTATTTGCCAGTGCTGGAAAAGGAACTTGGAAATAATATACTTATTAAGACTATATAATCTCTTTCCTCCCTCTAGAAGAATATATACTAAAGTTAGTATACAATTTGAAAAACTACTGAGACAAAAATAATTATCTCTGGCTATATTCTATTGAATTCCTGAAACATGGTTGCCTTTGTTTCTCTAATTTGCAACGTAAATGTTATTTATTAGTAAATGTGTCTACAATTATTTTAGAAACATAAGGAAGAGCTTAGCTTATGCAGTCTGTAAACATGGGTCTTTAAAAGAAATGTCAGCCATGCAGCTGCTTTTCTAAAGGAAGGAAGGAAAAAAGAGTCCCAGTGTTTCCTTCTGCTTTGTGGACCCTTTTCCTGCATCTCTGTCCCCAAGTCATTCAGTTCCCATTTTCTACCATTTAGCAAGCAGTTTTGCCTAGTGGGCCCTGGCAAGATTACTGACACCTGAGTTAAAGCAAGGCCAGTCTGCATTTGTGCAGTGACTTTCACACAGACGGCCAGTGGCTCGTGTGGGGAGCCAGACCCCAGTGTTCTCAGCACTTGGCCGTGCTGATCATAACTTTCCCTGCTGTGTGCTGGTCCTCTGTGTGACAGTCTGCATCCGCTGGTCCCAGACTCCCACTCGGCAACCGCGACTCTGCTTCCCAGGCCTGTCAGTTCCATAGGTGCGGCCTTGACGCCGTTCGGCAGGGTCCTGGCCCTCTGCTTGCCATGGTCAGGACCTTAGGTTATGCACGCCAGGTAATACTTTCAGGTAACCTAGCTCTGTGCTCCTGTATGGCTTGAGCAGTAAGCCTTGTGGAAAGTTTCATATCTAAGAAAGTATCACTCTAGGAATATAATTTTACTGTTATTATTCTGTTTTCAAATCCTGAAGTTTTTTAAATTAATTAATTTGGGGCTGTGCCGAGACTTACTTGCTGCATGTGGGCTTTCTCTAGCTGCAGCAAGCAGGGGTGTCTCTTGTCGGGGAACACAGGCTTTGCAAGTTCCGGTTTCAGGAGTTGCAGCACACAGGCTCAGCAGTTGTGGGGCACAGGCCCAGTTGCCCCAAGGCATGCGGGACCTTCACAAAACCCATGGATCAAACCTGTGTCCCCGGCATTGACCAGTGGACCACCAGAGAAGTCTGAAAAGTTTTAGTTCAGATTCACTTGAGAGAAATGATAATTAAATTCTGGTCACTCTTCTGATCACATGTCATTTAAGGAGAAACTTGAAAGGGATTTAGAATGTTTGCTTTCACAGCTTGAAAATAGTTTTAGTTTTTAAATGCTTACATTCTCTTATCTAATGGTAGGTATCTGTGCTTGAAAACTGGAGGGACATGGAAGTGTGTAAGTTACAGACTGTGGAGTCACAAGCTGAAGGGTTTCTCAAGAACCTGAAGCTAATGAGCAGGTACTGTGGTGTCATAGGTGTCTTGCCACAATTGTCATTGAGGAAATAAAGATTAGGGCTGATTTGAGGAAAAATTATATTCAGTTCACTTCAGTCGCTCAGTTGTGTCCAACTCTTTGTGACCCCATGAACTGCACCACGCCAGGCCTCCCTGTCCATCACCAACTCCCGGAGTCTACTCAAACTCACGTCCATTGAGTGGGTGATGCCATCCAACCATCTCATCCTTTGCCGTCTCCTTCTCCTCCTCCCTTCAGTCTTTCCCAGCATCAGGGTCTTTTCAGATGAGTTAGTTCTTCGCATCAGGTGGCCAAAGTATTGGAGTTTCAGCTTCAATATCAGTCCTTCCAATGAATATTCAGGACTGATTTCCTTTAGGGTGCACTGGTTGGATCTCCTTACAGTCCAAAGGACTTTATTTTTAATAGTTATTATAATTAATGCATGTTCAGTCATGGGAAAATCAAAACATATCAACAAAATGATAAATTATCCTAATTCTAAATTGAGTTATAATTAGTTAATTTAGTTTTGGGTAAATCCATTAAGGTTTTGGGAAAAAAAGAAAATTTACATACAGTTTTTCACTAAGTCATACATGGTGGTGGTTTAGTCACTAAGTCATGTCTGACACTCTGTGACCCCATAGTCTGGAAACCTACCAGGCTGCTCTGTCCAAGGGATTCTCCCAGCAAGAATACTGGAGTCAGTTGCCATTTCCTTCCCCAGGGGATCTTCCCGACCCAGGAATTGAACCTAGGTCTCCTGCATTGCAGGCAGATTCCTTACTGACTGAGCTAAAAGGGAAGCCCAAGTAGTACATAGGAAACTTCCTTTCATATCAGTGCTCACATTGCTCCAGCCTCAGTTTAGAAGGTTGAGTAGTCGTCCAATGTACAACCATGTCATGGTTTTTTAAATACCACTGTAGTGGGAGAGCTTGGTTGTTTGCACATTTTGCTATTAAAAGCTGCTCTGTGGCAGATATCCTTACAGCTAAATTGTTAGTCATTTCCACACAATGAATAAATTCCTGGAATGAAGATCACATTTTTGAGGCTTTTCAGCAGTTGCCTTCCATAAGAATAGTTACTTAACAGTCTTACTGGTAGAGTATGGGAAGGTTTCTTTCAAAGATATTTACTTATGGTCATTTTTTTAACCCTCCATAATCTTTACCTGTTTTTGTTTGTTTTGCTTTCGTTTTGGAATAAGGTTTACCGTGGGAATCCAGAGAGTCTCCTTCAGTCTAGAATTTAGCACTTTTCTATATGGATTTTTGCACATTACTTTTCATCTGGTCCTTTTATTGTATTCCACACACAGGTTTTACCTTTTTAATTCCTAGTGCTTTTTGATTTAAATTTCAAACCCTCACTGTTGAACCAGAGATTCTACAGGTCATGGAAAAACAGTTTTAATGTACAGTTCTTTTTTTTTTTTTCTTTTTTTTTTCCTTTTTTTTTTTATTAGTTGGAGGCTAATTACTTTACAATATTGTAGTGGGTTTTGTCATACATTGACATGAATCAGCCATGGATTTACATGTGTTCCCCATCCCGATCCCCTCTCCCACCTCCCTCTCCGCCCGGTCCCTCTGGGTCTTCCCAGTGCACCAGGTCCGAGCACTTGTCTCATGCATCCAACCTGGGTCCTTCTTTTTTTCAAGATTTAAGTTTTTTTCACATCGGAAAACCTTTCTGATTAAAGGTAAACTGGTATACTGATTTAGATTACAGGACTAATACAGCTGAGGTTGAGACCATGTGGTGTTGAATAGACAGTGTGCAGCACGCCAAGGGCTCCGGATTGTGGTGCATCTGGGAAACAGATATCTCAGGCCTCACTATCTAATAGCATTAACTCGTTAGTAAGCCTCATAGTACACAGGTAGTCTTTCTTAGGGAATCTATGCTAACTCTGCTCATTCCAGCAAAGGGTGGCAAAAGAGGAAAGCCATGAAAGCGGCATTCTGGTTTTTCTTTAAGATGGATTGGTGGTGGATTGGTGGTGGTGCTGATATTCTCAATTTGGGGTAGAAAGCTTCTCTGTCACTTTCAGTAGACCAGATTCATGAGGTGCTGAGAAGTTTAATGTAGTCTGTTAGACCACGCCCTTTGTTTTACAATGAAGTAGGGATGAAGGTTTTATTGGAACGTATCCAGGCTGCCAACTGTCGGTTTGTTTTTCAATGCAAAGATAGCCTTTGATGTTAAACATGAAGATGTCAACTGACAAGTTGTCTAATCTTCAAATTTGAGGAGAGAGGTTAAAATTAAGGAGAATATGTGCTCTCTGTCCACCAGTTTTGGGCTTTGGGTTAGATCAGTCGATAATATTTCCTAAAGTGTAGTGACTTTGTAAGATACTCAGTTCTTTAAAAATCGTCTTTTTGTGTGTGTGTGCATGATTATATTTCTCCCATTATCTTTAAATGTTTATTTTCATTTGTACTTTAGTGCTTTCAATTTTTAAAAGTTTTCAAGTGGACATCAGCAGTTTTATGTTTTTCTCCTCTCTCAGTGATTCAGCAGCGTATCCTGACATGGACTCAGACATACATTCATGGGAATCATTTCTTTCTGATGTTAGAGAAGAAATTGAGAAAGCAAAGGTAAGTTATATGGTATTTTATCATTCTATCAAAATCTCTCTGATGGTTATTCTAAAACACGTAGTGTCATACTAAAACTTTCTATTTAGGGCTGTTAAAGACTACATTTTTTTGTTGTAATTAAGAATTTTTCATGAAAGAAATATCTTCTTAACTGTCTTAAACTCAGTCCTTGATTGATAAGATAGCAAAGTTAAGTTTGATAAGGGTTAGAGCATTCTAATTAATAATTAGATTAATATTAGAGTTAAGTAGAATTAATAGTTCTAGTTATCTTGAACTTCTTTCCTTGCAAGAAGTAACTTTGCATCTCAGTTATGTTTCTTGGGAAATGGTTGAGCATTTATTATGTATGTATAGCAAGGGGGAAAATAGCATTAATGGACAGTTGTGGTTTTCCTTGGAATTTGTTAGAAAAACTTAACATTTTCTTTCTACCTACAGTCTCAGTTTGAAGAACAAATTCAGGCAATTAAAAATGGTTCTCAGCTCAGTGAACTTCCAAAAGTGCAGATTTCTGAGCTTTCGTTTCCTGCCTGTAACACAGTGAGTCTCTTACATCTCTTTTTTTCTTTTTTGAAGGAAACAGAACCAAAAAGGAGTGAGGCACAATTTCTTTCTTAACTGGCCAAAAGTAGTTTGTTACTGTTTTGGGAGTGGGCGTGAGCTGGGTTAATAATTACCTTACTGTTTTCATCAGGTGCTAGGTGAAGGCCTCATCAGAGTGGCCCTCGTTCACCCCTCACCACGTGACCCTTCTGTCTATGCATTCAGCCTCAACTAAGGTAGTAGGCTCTGGAGCTGCAGTCAGAAGCTGATCTTGAAAGTGTTTTTCTTCTCAATACTATGCACCCTTAATATTCAAATTTACTGTGGATTCATCTGCAAAAATAAAAATTAAAAGATTTAAAACGTTAAAAAGGTTAGCCACCTTGAACTGAGTAGAATGTTCTTGAACTGAGTAAAATATTCTATTGAGCACCACTGTTTTCAAGTTCTTACAGCAGATGCAGAGGGGGAAAAGCATTAGATCTCAGTAGAATGTTTTACTGTTAATGTTTAATTCTAGTTTATGTGGTTTTATAAATGCTCAAAAGAACTTTAAACTTTGAAAACCTTGGGAACTCTCTGTGCCAGGGGCTTGAATAACAAGAACCTAGAAACGGTTTACCTTGTGTCACTTCTCTGCTGTTCTTGCATCGGGTGTTTAGTGGTGATCAGGATTAGATGCGGTCTGTGCCCTCAGGATGCACATGGGTTTGGGAGCAACTTCAAGCCCATGATTATAAGCAAAGTGCACCAAGAGCATAGAATGCCATGGCAGCAGAAATCAGGGGGAACTAACTTAACCCCAAGGCCTCGGTCTCGACAGAAGCTCTCTCAGTGAGCCAGAGATCTGAAATAGGAGTTCACCAGGCAGAAGGGGTGTGTGTGTGTGTGTGTACGTGTACTAGGAGTTCACCAGGCAGAAGGGGTGTGTGTGTGTGTGTGTGTGTACGTGTACTAGGAGTTCACCAGGCAGAAGGGGTGTGTGTGTGTGTGTGTACATGTACTAGGAGTTCACCAGGCAGAAGGGGTGTGTGTACGTGTACTAGGAGTTCACCAGGCAGAAGGGGTGTGTGTGTGTGTGTGTGTGTGTACACGTGTACTAGGAGTTCACCAGGCAGAAGGGGGGTGTGTGTGTGAACTAGGAGTTCACCAGGCAGAAGGGTGTGTGTGTGTGTGTGTGTGTGTGTGTGTGTGTGTGTGTGTGTGTGTGTGTGTGTGTGTGTGTGTGTGTGTGTGTGTGTGTGTGTGTAGGGCTGTGTGTGTGTAGGGCTGTGTGGTGTGATGTTTCAGGGTCAAAACATTCAGATGGAGGAAACAGCGTATTTGGAGACTAGAAAAAGAACACCTTTCACAGCGGTGAAAGAAGTTTGCTAGGACAGAGGGTACTGTAGGGAAAAGCTTGTGATACCCTACCCCTGGGCCAGAACAAAGGGAGCCTTATTCCGTTAGGTGTCTCCACAGTGTGGACTTCCCCTCAGGTCCCTGAGCAGCCAGTGTAGGTCTCCAGTTAGGAAATGATGTCAGCCTGATTGCATTGTGGAGGCCTGGTGGGAGAGGGGCCTGGGTGAGAGATGTGCAGCGGATCGGGTGCAGCTCGCTGTCCCCGCCGGGCCCCGGTGAGAGAGGCCGCGGGCTGGAGGGAGGGGAGCGGTTTCCAGTGTTCAGGTGGTCAGCTGCAAGCGGTGCTGCCTGTGCAGTCAGGGCTCAGCGTGAGTGTGTTGGGGAGTGAACCACAAATTCAAGTCTGTGTCAGGTGGCGCCAGAGGAGGAGCAGGTGAGGAAGCCTGCCCGGCGGCTGCGTTTGCAGACACAGAGTTTGAGTGCCCTTGGAATCACCCGGGGGAGCTGCCTGTTAGGAGGTTAGGATCTCGGGATGGTATTCTAGACTGGAATCGTTTAAAAGGGGGGCATTATTCGCAACAAGCGCTCAGTCACGGAGGCATGAGAGGGTGTAGCCTGGGGTGCAGACTCTGGCTCTGACACCATGAGGAGCCTCAGCCCTTCAGCGTGGACTGCAGAGCTTCGGGCAGGGCCCGGCAGTGTGAAGCCCTGAACAGCTGGTTTTGAGAGAGACAGTTACCAGTGACTTTTAAGGACAGTAATATTTAATTTGTTATAGTTCAAGTTCTGTGCACTTGAGCAAGCAGGATTCATTATAGTTGTGCTTAATTGTTAGTCTTTGTCCATGGATCTAACTCTTAGTGATCAGCTTTTGTGGTGTGTTCCTCTCAGATTCATCCTAAATTACTTCCTGAGTCCTTAGGCCAGGATGGTCAAGGTCCCTCCACTTCTACAAGTCATGGGACCAGAGACCAGACAGCAGCTCCCGAGGAGTTAAGTCTGGGCTCTGCCGCTGACACCCCAGTGGGGTCGCCCTCCTGCGACCAGAAGGCCACCCAGCTGCCAGGGCGTGAGGGCGCTGGCCAGGCAGCTGGGCCAGAACCACGCCTGATGGCTGATGAGAAGTTACCTGCTGCTCCAGAGCATGCCACCCGTTCAAGCCAGTCCCCGAAGAGGCCGTTCAACAGCATCATTGAGCACCTGTCGGTGGTGTTCCCATGCTACAGCAGGTACGGGTCTAAAACGTCAGCAGTGCTGGGAAATGCTTTGTTGAAGTGATGTTTCCCGATCGGATAACAGTTCGGCCAATTAGGAGCTGAAGTGGAAAGGACTGTGCAATTATTTTACTCAAAAGGACAAACACTGCATTTGTCTTCTTTTTGTAAACATAAAAGTGAGCATTTTCAAACAGATTAGTCCACACTCATCAGAACGCATGGCAATTTGCTAAGATTTTGATGAACTCAGTAACATGCTCCAGTACTAGTTATGAAATCAATAAATGAACTTCGGAACATTAGGTTTGTATCATTTCAGGGGGGGAAAAATCTCACATATATATCAAAGAAGGCAGCAGCAGCTTACACTTTGTGGAAAAGCCCCTCTGCTTTGTCAGAGGTGTGAGCTGAAGAGACTGAGTAAGGTGTGTGGGCAGAGGAGGGGGAGGGAGAGCTGATGTACAGTGCGTGTCCGTATCTGCTGTGAGCAAAGTGGATCAGCCTTTCACACACATACACCCACTCTTGCAGAGGGTTCTCCCCGTAGGTCATTTCAGAGTATTGAGTAGTGCTCCCTGAGCCGTGTAGTTACCTGCTTTATGTATAATAAATAATAACATACAGTAGTGTGTCTGTGTCCATCCTAATGGCCCAATTTATCCGCCCCCCTTCCCCCCCCGGTAACCATCAGTTTTTAACATCTGTGACTCTCTTTCTGTTTTGTAAGTTCATTTGTACCATTTTTTTTAGTTTCTGCATGTAAGCAATGTCATATGACGTTTGTCTTTCTCTGGCTGACATCACTCAGTAGGACAGCCTCGAGGTCCGTCCATGTTGGCTGCAGATGGGGAGAGCTGCTTTTAACTAAGTCAGCCAGAGTCATCAATTGGGCACTTCAGTCGTGCTCCTGCATCGACCTCTGACCTCTCTCCAGATGGGTCCAACCGAGGGGGCAGAGGGACTCCTTGTCTCAGGCCGCAGGGAAGGTGAAATGGAGGGAATGTCTCCCTCCAATGCAGAAGAGAGGACTCCACATCCAGGAATGATCCTCCGCACCTCCCGTGTTACTTCTGCCTTTGACACAGTATTAGTCTCTGGGATGAACTTCTGAAACACAGTGGTTAATTGTGATTGGCCAGAATTAATGTTTTGCATTTGTCAGTGGAGCCCTGGCCATTTGGAAGTAAATGTCTCTTCTCTGCACATGGACACATTTTGCCTAAGTTTGAGAAGCACTGTTAAGTTCTCTCAATTGCAGTTGCCATGCTAGTTAGTAAAAATAGTCAAGTTGTAATTACCAGAAGTACCTTACAAATAAAATTGTTTGCAGTCCTGTCTAAATTTGGCAGAGTAAACATATGCCTCTTAGGTTTTCTGCAAGTTAAAGCATATGAGGTATTAGTGCTGTAGATACCAAGTTCCTGTTGATTAATGATGTCACATCTACTGCTACCTATGAAAAATGCAGGAAAACTTTGTCGGTTAGATTTTTAAAGGGAGGAGGTAAAAAAATAGTTTGTTCTTAGAGATTTTATTGATTTCAAGTCATATCCAGTGGTGTCTGACCATTCAGTGATTTTGCTTAATGCTACACTGTGTCCAGGCTCTGAAGAAGGCAGGTTTCTAAGTAAGGAAGGAGATCTGAAATGGATCTGTCAGGTACACTCTTACTTTGAAAACTATTAAAATAAATATTTTAGGAATAATACTGAAATTTTCACAGTGGTTTTTTTTTTGGAAGAGTGATTTTGCTGCTTTTACATACTGTTGTTTATAAATGAATTGTGTATTTAATTTGGTTTCTTTTCAGCTGCTGAGTTGGTACTGGACATAATATTTCTTCACAGTAGAAAACTTTGACTTTGTCTTGACTTCCCCACTTTCCCTTTCAGCACGGAGCTTGCTGGTTTTATTAAAAAAGTTAGAAACAAAAACAAGACCTCTCTGTCTGGATTGAGTATTGACGAGATTGTGCACAGAGTGACAGACTACATCCTTGATGAAGAGAAAAAGAGAAAGGTCAGTGTTTCATTTAAATTCAATATATACTCCACTTTCTTCCTACTTATTTATAAAATATGAGAATTGTGGGGAAAAATGCTTCCAGCAAATGATGGGGAGCAATGTAGTAGACAGTGCTCACAGTTTTGGGTAACTGAACTTGCTTCCCTACTATACATTCTGGCTGCAGCCAAGTCCAGGAAAGGACCGGAGGCCGTCTTTGCCCAGCTCTGCTGTTCCTGCGCCCAGGGCCGCCCAGGACCCGCCCTCCGTGCTGGTCAGAGCACCACCCGAAACCGAGGGGCCGCAGACCAAGGACGTCCCTGTGAGTGCTGTGTGCATGACCATGGGGTTCCCTCTGTTCTGACGAAGAACAGGAAGAAAGCAGCTGTTAGTCCATGATGTAGCTTTATGGTTTTCATTTCTCGGTGGACTTTCTTTGAGCTTTGATTAGAAGCCACGTTTAGGTGACGTGAGTGTTTGATTAGAGGAGCCGGTGACTAGCGAGTTTCTCCGTGCCGTTGTGGGGACTTCAGGGCCCCTGCATGCAGGGACAAGAGGCGCAGTGGCCCCACCATGGACACGGGGCCTGTAGACAGTCAGATGCGTTCCTCACATCAAGTGTGAATAGTTGGCAGAATTGATTTTTAGCCAGTTTTCTTCTGTGCGACCATAGGCTTTAGAATCACACAAACTTGGTCTCATCACCAATAATACTGTGAGCTTGGATCATATCTGCTTGTTGGGGCTGTTGTCTGGATGAAGTGCTGTGGGTGGGGTTAGCAGAGTCAGACGCTGTTCTCAGAACAGACTGGCTGCTTCCCTCCCCTTCCCCTCAGGTGCCTGGGGACGGGGGGACATGCTGAAATGGGCTGAGGTTGCTTTTATTTGATATACTGATTTAAATTGTTTATTGTCCTTTTAAACAATGAGACTGTTAGTTACATAGAACTTTCTGTAAAGTACTATTGTATCTGTGATCTCAGTTGATAAGGTATTGTAACTGTCTTTATGAATGAGGAAACCAAGGCACCGATGAGTCATGCTTCTGGCCGGCGTTCTTTCCTTTGATTGCGTTTGCGGCGTGTAATTCCCTGTCCTCACCCACACAGACTTCACACGCTGGGGACTGTGCAGTAGGCACTGAACATGTGGTTGATAGGGAGGCGGTCCCCTGGGTGGCTCCCAGCTGTGGGCTCCTGGTGGAATTCTGGCATAGATCCCGTCTTCCCCTCCTATCCAACTTCAGGTGAAAGTAAAATGAGAGCTGCAGGCAGAGTAGAGTCGGCAGTGCTGGACTGCACAGGGAGCGCTGGTTCGCTGACCTGACCTAGGCCATGCCTCCTGTGAACCTGTTTTTGTCCCTCCCATACATTTTCATTTTCCACACAAATCCACGAGATTTTCCTCGTCACATACACTTGGGTGCCAGAGGGTACCCACCCCACTGAGAAAGCTTGTATCGTGCAGAGCATTCCTACCAAGCCTGGCAGGAGTCCACTCTCTCTCAGGGGTGTTCCACCTGGTCATGTGCTCTGTGGTCCAACAATCAGACCATCTTCTTAGCATTCTCACTGATTTGTGTGTGAGTGTGTGTGTGTGTGTGTGCACGTGCACACACTCACACTTATTGGCCACCCCAAGATAGACCATGATCACCTTTTGAGGTGAGATTACTTTCTGCTTCATGGTTCATGGTAATAAAGATGTGAAAGCTGACTTGTAAGAAAAATATGTATTGAAACCAGGACTTAATTTGCTAATCATAGGGTTGTTTTTGTTTTTAAGTAACAGTGTTTTGTATTTTTAAGCACAAAAGTAATGTGGTTCTTAGTAGAAGGTCCAAATAAAAAGAACATATAAAGAACCCCAAAACCCACCCTCCAAGGGTAACCAGTATTATATTGGTATGCGTTTTTTCTGAGCTCTTTTGTATCTGTGTGTAGACGTGAATTTGGCTGCCCTGGCGGCCCGGATGGTAAAGCGTCTGCCTGCAGTGCGGGAGACCTGGGTTTGGTCCCTGGGTCGGGAAGATCCCCTGGAGGAGGAAATGGCAACCACTCCAGTGCTCTTGCCTGGGAAACCCCATGGACGGAGGAGCCTGGTGGGCTACAGTCCATGCGGTCACAAAGAGTCGGACACGACTGAGCGACTTCACTACTACTATATACATATATGTGTTCTTTTTACTTTTTCTCTTAGAAATACATTGTGCCAAATTTGTCATGTTGGGAAGTAATAACTATGTTTTTCTAAACTTCATGCTGTGCTGTGCTTAGTCACTCAGTCATGTCCGACTCCCTGCGACCCCATGGACTGCAGCTCCCCAGGCTCCTCTGTCCATAGGGGAGTCTCCAGGCAAGAATACTGGAGTGGGTTGCCATGCCCTTCTCCAGGGGATCTTCCTAACCCAGGGATTGAACACAAGCCTCCTGCATTGCAGGTGGATTCTTTACCGACCGAGCCACCTTGCAGAGGCCTTGACCTGCCATTTCTCACAGAGCTATTTCCTCCAATTCTCCCAGACCCTTCCCTGGGGGCCACAGAGGGGAGGGGAGGGGAGCGAGATCGCGTCTGTCCCACTGCTGCCCGGTGCCTGGTGGTGGCTGCAGTGTCCTGAGAGGGACAGAAAACCCTGTTCAGTAGATTCACAGCCTTCAGGCACTGCCCCAACCCTACTCCCTGACCGTCACCCACTGCCGGGGCTGCATTCACTCACTTCCTGACAGTTCCCGGAGCCTCCCTTTGGGGCCAGGTTCGTTGCTGGCTGCTAAGAGCACACGGAAGCAAAGCCATTTCCTGCCTTCAGGGTGCTCAGAGTTAGAAGGGGGAATGAGAGTCGAGTAGGTAGGGGCGGATGCTGGGGGCTGCAGGGAGCCGTGGTGCCCAGGGTCCTGGGTGGCACCCGGCTCCGCTTCCACAGGAGGGTGCCGTGTCCCCCAGACTGTGAGTGGGCCCGGGAGCCCTCCCACTTGCCTGTGTCCCCGCGCCCGCACAGTCCCTGACAGGGATGTTGCTAAATGAGCCATCAGTTTAATTTATGCAAGGAATCCACATTCATAGAAACTTTAGAAAAATAGCAAAGAAAAAGTTAAATCTCTCAACCCAAAGTAGCCAGTCACCATCATTAACATTTTATATCTTCCCAGATTCTTTTCTAGGCATCTCTATGTACAGACATTCTCTCTTTGTTTAAAACCTTTAATTATATAATCATATGATACCTACTGTTTTGTAGTCTACTTTTATTCAGAGAGCTTTTGGCACCAGCTTTCTGTACCAAGGATGATGGATTCCGTCAGGATTTTAATCAGCCCCACCATAATCCATAGTGTAGAGGTGTCATAATTTGTTACTATGTCCAGCTGTTAGATAATTAAATGAAGAGTTAATTTGTAATATGCAGCTAATGCCATACTTTAAGTATGGGATGGGATAAATAGATATTTGTAGTATTTTAACTGGAAGTGAGTTAACTGTATAAATTATGTTTGTTTGTTTTTTTTAAATCACGTTTTTTATCCGAGAAAATCAAAACTTTGTTTTTTCCTAAGAAATGTTATTCAAAAATAAGTTGTTCCCTCAATCTGCTTAACTAATTGAGAATAATCTGCACCTTGTGCTGCAAACGTTTTGGAAAGCCAGTTGTAGGAAGAGTTCTTTATTTCTGGGATACATTTGTTTCCACAGGTGTCCTGTGCAAATTCCTGCGAAATCTGCCGAGAAGTATTCAAGTCCAAAAATGTGCGTGAGCTGCAGTGTGGGCACAGATTTCACAAAGGGGTAAGAGCTCTCCGTGGCTGTTTTTGTGTCACCCGTTCTGACTGTGGAGCATTTAGAAAAGAGAAGGGACTCTTCCCCCCAGGCGTCAGCCCTTGCCTTTTCCAAGCAAATCCCAAACATGCTCGTATTGGTGGTCTCCCTCCCAGAGGCTGTGCTGTGGGGAGGGGAGTGGCCTCCGGCCTCTGGTGCGCTCTGCACAGTCCTCTCCGTGTCGGGTGGAGAGGAGCACTTGGCTCTATCAGTTGCTAAAATTCAAAGACTGATTTCCTTTAAAGCTCTGCTTCTCAAGCAGATAGATGGTGAAATAGCTTTGTCGGTTTAGTGCAGTGTGTGAAGTAAGTTTAACATGTAACATTTTTAGAGAAGAGAAAGGAAGCCTGACGGGCTCCGCTGTGCCTAGGGGACTCTGGCTGTGCCCTCCTGAGATGGGTGTTAGCTGTTCTGGGGTTTGGGTGCTGTGAGCACTCAACCTGCACCCCTGCTGCTGGATGAGAGCCGGTCCTGTCTCTGCTCTGTGAGTGTGTGAATCCCTGAGAGAAGGGGCACACACTGTGTGTGTGCATGTGCATGCGTGCACTCAGTCGTGCCTGCCTCCTTATGACCCCATGGGCTGTAGCCCACCAGGCTCCTCTGTCCATGAATTCTTCAGGCCAGAATACTGGAGGGGGTTGCTATGCCCTGCTCCAGGGGATCTTCTCGACCCAAGTCTCTTGAGTCTCCTGCAGTGGCAGGCAGGTTCTTTACCAGTTGTGCCACCAAAGAGTCCAGACAGACTGCAGTCTCTCATGTGACCTTCCTGGGCTCTGAACTTACCACACGCTCAGCTCCCTAGAGGCAGCAGGCAAGCCAGGAGCAGCTTGGGAGCACGCTGTGTAGATAGGCTCCAGTGAGGCTGTGTGTGTGCAGACTGGGGAGGGACAAGGAACGAGATGGGGCAGATGGGAGGAGTCCAAGGGCCCGGAAAGAGTCAGCCTCCAGCAGTCAGGGCAGCTGGAGCACAGACTGGACTGGAGCAGAGCGGGAAGGGGGGGCGCAGTCAGGCCCCGAGTCTTCACGGTCACGTTCTGAGGTGCGGTTCCTTGTTCCTGGGGCTTGGTCCAGACCTCTGCCCTGAGCAGGCTCTGGTGTCCTTGAGTGTCGAGTGGCCCAAGGTCCCCCTGGACGTCACGGGTGATAGCTTACGGTGAACAGGGTTGGGTTCGTGACCTCCGGAGGAGAGAATTTTGCTTCCAGGCCAGAGACGAGGCTGATCACTCAGAGCTTTTGTGTAGCAGAGTTTTATTACAGTGAAAAGGGGCACAGAAAGCTTCTGACATAGACCTCAGAAGGGGCAGAGTGCCCCACTCATCAGTCTTAGCAAGGCCTTATATACTTTGTCAGTTGGTTACTAATAGTAGAAAGGTCTTACCAGACCCACTCCCACAGCATACCTCTTAAGATAACAAGTTTAGTCAGAAGGTTCTTGTTAAGAAAGAGAAACATGTCTTCAAACAAGATAGTGTTGTTACATAATCATTAGTACAGAGCTTAAGGAAAAACAAAGGGCTTCCCTGATAGCTCAGTTGGTAAAGAATCTGCCTGTAATGCAGGAGATTGCAGTTTGATTCCTGGGTCGGGAAGATCCACTGGAGAAGGGATAGAAGCTACCCACTCCAGTATTCCTGGGCTTCCCTGGTGGCTCAGCTGGTAAAGAATCCTCCTGCAATGCGGGAGATCTGGGTTCGATCCTGGATTGGGAAGATCCCCTGGAGATGGGAAAGACTACCCACTCCAGTACTCTGGCCTGGAGAATTCCATGGACCATATAGTCCATGGGGTTGCAAAGAGTCGGACACAACAGCAACTTTCACTCTCACTTTTAAGGAAAAACATACCCTGAGCAAGATGACTTGTTTTGTTATGTAATCATTAGCTCTGGGCTTAAAAAACATCTTATAAGATGAAGGAATGTAAACAAAAAACACTCTCCCTTTCTCCTCCTCGAGGGCCCCCGACTCCTTAACCTGCCTAAGAGAGTCACTCTCACAGTGAAGTTGCCGTGTGTGCCGAGGCGAGTGGTGCAGGAGAGCTGAGGCCCCCAAGCTCCCAGAGGGCCGGCTGATTGTCTTCTCTGATTTCAGTGCTTCAAGCAGCGACTGAAGAGCCAGCGCACCTGCCCAGCCTGCCTGGGTCACACCCTCCTGGCAGAGGAGTAGCTGCCCTGCTGGAGGAGGCCTGCCTGCTGCTCTCGGCCGCTACAGTTCACGCTGCAGATACGCTGCTTGTTGAGTTGGAAGACTAGCAGTGTGGTCCCTTTGGTATCAAAAGCAGACGCCTGAAGCTTCTTTGCACTGTGTGTTGCAGTGTTAATAAACGGAACTCTTTAATACAGCTGAGAGTAAGTGATTTCCCAGCTCTGACTAGACATAGAGTAATCACCAAGTGGCGGCTGATAAAATCACATGTAACGGCTTCCTTCTGTGGTTGGGGATGCTGCAGAGGCGCGCTCTGAGATGGAAGGAAAAGACGGTGAGTGCCTCAAAGCAGGACTCGATTATCAGCATCCTTGGCCTGCTCAAGTGCCAGGAAAAGGTTTTTGAGATCAGTATTCCCGAACTTAGCCTACCTTTTTCCTCAAAGGTTCTGCGTTTTAAAAAAAGAGCTTAAGCAGACCACATTTTAATAGGTTGTAATGTTAATATTGGCTGATTTCAGACCAGAAGATTCAACTCTCCTCTTTATGTGGTTTCTCATTTCATTGTTTTCTCCCCAGTAGGTTTGTAAGTGCTCGTTTTCCGTCTTTTAAGGACATAATGATTTTTGAAAATCAGTTACAAGACCCTCACTAGCATCAGCCAGGACTTCTTAACCCCTGAAGTCGAGGCTCGCTCGTCATCACCCCACCCCCGGGTCTGGAGCGGACTCTCTTTGAATACCTTACTGTTCTCGTTAGTGACCTTTGTCGCCCTCTCTGAGTTAGACAACAAGCGTTGGGGTATCTCTGTCTGGCATACAGCAGCAGCTGAGGGAAACAGTCACATCATTCCCTTTCCTTACCCCACCACCAAAAAGAGACACTTGTATAATAGATAGTCCTGAGATGTTGCTGTTACAGTCGTTCCTGTTTGACGTTTGTGTAGAGTAATGCATGCACTCGTGTACTGTAGCCTGAGAACAAAACCGCAGCTGCTTTAGAGAAACTGCTTATCTTCAGTGACTTATAGACAGCAGTAGACATAGAACCGTGAATTCTGGGCACATTCCGTCTCTCTCAAACCAGAAGGATCAAAAAGTGTTTTCTGTTTCCTTCAGAAGCTCAAGTCCCAGGTTCGCGCGCTGACACAGTCGCCTCCGTCTGCTTTGCTTCTCTCTCGGTTTTGACGTCTTAGTGACTTGGTGCATTGACGCTCATTCCATATTTTGAAGCAGGTCCCTAAAACATTGTCTGCATGTTCAGAATAACTGAGGACTTGCAGATATGAAGGTACACAGGGACCCGTGTGTAGCAGCAGGCGCAGCGGGAAAGAACAGCTGGAGAGTGAGAGGATGTGTTCGTGCATAACCTCAAACTGTTACTTGTGAACATGCCTTACACGTGTCCTGTGTCGAAATAAAGAACGTTCTAAAATAATAGCCGTGTTATCCATTCTTTGTCTAATTTAAAGCATTCTACTTGAAAATTCAAGACATATATTATGCTGCCAATTTAAAAGGTGATTCGTTTGGACAGAAGAGCCACTGTACGTTTGAGGAGTCTAACCAAGAGTTCCAAAGACATTTTCAAAACTGGATCAAAGCATCCTTTTGCTTAATTTTAAGGAGAAGTTGCTAAACTCAAGTTCACAAGATTGGCTATTGAAATCTGTGAATGGAAAGACTAGACAGGATAGAGTTAACTTTTTTAGGCTAGAGTGAGAGGTTTTTAGGTGAATATGTATGAGTGTCAAGAGTTAACCAGATTGCATTTCTCACTGTTAATCTTTGTGAGGTACTTGCAGAGGGTTAGCAGGCTGCTGGTTCACACCAAAATGACCTTGATACATGGTCCTGTCCCAGACCCTGTGGCATGGACCAGATAAGCCCGTGGATCATTTAGGTTAGACCAGATTTTAGGGACCTTTTGGTCCTTGTGGATACAGGGCTACTGAGGCTGGTGAGAAATGGCTCCCTGATAGAGGACCTTATAGTATGCTGAGCACTAAGAGACGATCCAGGAAAGCCAGTGTTATCAGTCTCTGTCTTCAATCTGATAGCATTTAATTTAGAATAGTCTATAACTTTAAGCAGTGACTATTCCTAAGAGTTTGGATTCTTTTCCCTGTTGAAAAGTTTATGCTATACATGAAGCATAATCCAATAGAAAATTGAAATGTTACCCTAGCATTGCAAAACATTACCACCTTTTAAAAATTTTATTTTAATTAGAAGATAATTATAATATTGTGATGGTTCTTGCTATATGTTACTACATTTTTAAGGTAATTTCAAAGACTGTAGAAGCAGGTGGGCCAAGTGATCACAACACAAGACAAGCAGTGAAATAATTTTAGGTAGTTTTTCAGTCAGATGATGCTCTCTGGAGAAACAGATTAAACAGGTAAAAGAGATAATAGCAAAGGTGGAATTTCCTTTCATCATCATGTGAAGTACTTGCTGATGCAACTGATAAAAAGCAAAGACAGTAAAGCAGACGCGAACGCTTGTCAGAATGAAGACCAAAAACATCTCCAATGTAACCTTTCTTGAAAGAAACAGGAATCACTTTTCAGGCATTTTAATTTTAATCAAACTTAATCATAAAACCTTATTCAAAGAATAATTTTAAGAAGAATGCATCATCGTAGCTAATCCCCTTTTCCTCTTCACCCTGACGAGATCTGCTTAGAGGGCACGCCCACCTTCATATAGCCATGTACCTTCAGTGCTGTGCTGAGAAGGCAGGCACACCTGGATGCCAGTGAAAACAGATATGCACTGAGTACCTACTGCTCGCTAGGCCTTGGGCTCAGCATCCTGAACGGCAGTGAAGGAGGGACACGGACTCCACAAAACTCGTTTTCAGTTACAGACAGTAAACAAATTCAGAATGTAGCTTGGTGCCAAGGAGGACTTTAAAGTCAAGGAAGGTGTACAGATGAATAATAAAATCCTTATAAAGTGGTTAGCACAGTCCCTAGCACATGACCCTGTGACAAAGAGGATCTAGTAATTATTACTCCAGTCTGGGTTTGGAAGTTGGGCAGGGAGAGCACTTGGTGGTTTTGTGTAAGAAAAGTTTCATTAGATTTTGTTGTTCAGTTGCTAAGTCTTGTCTGTCTCTGCAACCCCATGGACTGCATGTAGCACACCAGGCTTCCCGGTCCCTCACTATCTCTCGGAGTTTACTCAGGCTCATGTCCATTGAGTCAGTGATGCCATCCAACCATCTCATCCTCTGTTGCCCTCTTCTCGTCCTGCCCTCAATCTTTCCCAGCATCAGGGTCTTTTCCAATGAGTCGGCTCTTTGTATCAAAGTATTGGAGTGGTGGCCAAAGTATTAGAGCTTCAGCATGTTCAAGGTTGCTTTTCATTAATTTAGGAAGCCTGGGTTGTATAACGTAGTCAAGTAGAAAAAAGGAGAAGAAATCCAACCACCTCAAAGTCATTTTGAAAAGTAACAACAGCTTTGTTCCTGAAATCTCCCCAAGTTGACTTTGGCTACATCATGATTCCATAGTGACGGATGATCTCACCTATGGCTGTCCCATTACCTGGAAGAACAGTATTGAGGTAGCTTTTCTGTTCAGTTTGTTCAGAGCTCTGTGCCTGGCGTGGCAGGGGTCTTGAGTTGGCATGGCATGGTAGATGCCTGGGCAGGTTCATCCCACTGGAGGAGGCATGTGACCCCAGCTCCCCTGTTTGTGGGGAGGACTGTTACTGTCATCGCCCCCAGTTTATATTGTCTCTTCTGATTGGATGGCATCACCGACTGGATGGACGTGAGTTTGAGCAAGCTCCAGGAGTTGATGATGGACTGGGAAACCTGGCGTGCTGCAGTCCATGGGGTCACAGAGTTGGACATGACTGAGCAACTGAACTGATTTATCCTTTAAAGGAACAAGAATGACAAAATACTCAGCCGAAGTCTAGAAATTAAACAACACTAGTAAACTACAAATCCTAATGAGACAATCATCAGTAATCAGAAAAAAAAAAAGCTTTTGTCTACATTAAGAATACTAATTTTGGGTACACATACAGGAGAAAGTCAACCTTAACCTCACACCATCCACAGACATAGTTCCCAATAGATAGGTTCCAGTGGTCCTAAGTATGAATAGTGAAATAGTTTTTCTACAGAAAACAAATCTTGTCCTTAGCAAAGATTTACTAGGACCTAAGTGCTTGCCATGAAGATAAAAATCTGATAAATTGGGTATCATTATAACTAATGCCTCTTACCAAGTTAAGCTGTGAAATCAAGAAAGCTTGTATACCTCCAGCAAAGGCTCCAAGATGTATAAAAAATGTGTCATTAATGGAAAATATACGATATACTTAGAAATGAGCAAAAGATTTGAGTAGGCTCTTCACAACTATCCAATGGTTAATAAGCATTTCGGTAGCCAGATGTGTTCAGTTCCCGTCATCAGATACAAATTAAAACCAGTAACATCCTGCAGATACCCACCAGGATGGCTGAAAGTAAAAAAGAGCTAATCCCGTAGTGCCCAAGGACACAGTCCCCAGGCGCACACTTAACAGAAATTCCTGCTGTGGTGCAAGTATTTCATACTGGCTTCGTGCTCGGTGGCCTCAAACTGGAAACCACCCAGGCGTCCCTCAACATGAAATGCACAGGTCATGGCCTCTTCACACAATGGAATAATTGTCAGCAACGAGATAAAGGGACTGCTGCTGCACACAACTACACAGGATTCTCACAGAACCAAACCAAAGTAGCGCCACAAAATGGAGCTCCACTTAACGTGACTTCAGAGAACTGGAAGCTGGTGGCAGAGGGCAGTTAGCTGGGAGGCGATGCTGCTGATGGGAAGGCTGGAAGGGCACTCTCACCTTCAACTGAGCTGTGCTTACGTGAATTTGTGGAGCTATATGTTAAAAATAGCATTCTCCTGTCGTCGTTTTCAGTAAAACTAAACATTTCAAAACAAGAACAAGACAATATGCCTGGCCCCTGGAGGCAGTGATAACTGTGGGCCCTGCGGTACTCCTG